AAGCATCATTTTCTTCGCATGTATGTCATATACAATTCAACAGCAGAATTATGAAAATTTAAAAAGCAGCATAGCAATATACATTTAGAATTCCCGATGCAGCATGAAATGTTAGCATAAAACACACTTTTTTTTTTAGTCTCTTCTCAGTTTTCTTACTAAGATGGATTTACAAAACTTTTTTTTTGTCTTTTTATTATTAATGTTTTGTGTGTTTATTTATTAAGCCCTAGACGGTTAGGGAAATGAGCAGTTTTCATTTTCTTAATTCACGCAGTATTTACGAATAAACAGTAGTTGAAAGTAGCAGCTGTTTCCCCGGCCATTCTTCCGAAAATGTCACCCTTCTCTAGCGATGCTTCACGCATTTTAAAAATTTCTTAAAGTGGGACTCCTCTGTGAACGGTGCTTGCTACACCAGGGGGTCTGGGCTCTATCCCTTGTAGAATAAATTTGGTAGCTTCTAATGTTAATGGGAGATAACCATTCAATTAAGCATTTAGATAATTAGAATTATGATAATGCAGTTTTTTTATATTAATTAATTTCAAGATACTGTCTTGAATAAGTTATTCTAAATTATTAATTATCATTTTAGGTAATTACGGGAAAAACGACAAGCTGTAAGATGGATTGGCACAGAAGCAGTCGAGTTGGTGATGCTGGGATAAATACATGGTAAGTTTTAATGCAGATACTCATTAACCTGAATCCTTGTAAATAATATGTTACAAAATAATATATAACATATGAAATACATACAGTAAGCAAATTTTAAATAACATATATACAAACACAGGATGTAGAAGATATTTAGATACATGAAAATGATGGCACATGTAGACAGTTCGTACTTAACATCAGGGTTTTACATTATAGTGGTGTTCAGTTGGGCTAAGGCTCTATCCATATTATCCAAGTTATCGTAGTCATATGTACAAATTTTAATACTGGAGTTATCAATTGTATTCTGTCTTGCATGAAAATTTTTCGCAATTTTGTAATAATGGGTTCTAAGTAACTCTACACCAAGTTCCTCATGTATATGGTTATTTTGGATGTACCAGTCTGCAATGGTAATTTGCCTGAGTACAATGTTCTGGCAAGCTTGGAGTTTCTGCTTGTTAGTTTTTCTGGTATGAGACCAGACTGGACTTGCATAACATAATAATGGTCTGAGAATGGACTTGTAAATAAGTAACTTGTTGTCTATAGGGATATAATATATTAAGGGATAGAGTTGTGCTTTATGAACCCAGAACTTCTGGATAATGAAGTGATGTGTGGGGACCATGTAAGAGTATTATTGAGGATCACCCCAAGATATAGGACTTGCTTGGCCCATGGAGTACTTTGGTTGTAGAATTGCAGGTTGCTTCGTATTCTGGTCTGTCTTGTGAACAATACTGCCTTTGTTTTGTCTACATTAACTGCAATCTTCCATTTGGCTAGCCAAATTTCTAACGAATGTATGTATGGCGTTGGATGACTGGACCAATAAATGCACTTTGTGCTCGGATGGCTGTGTCATCTGCATGCATAGTACCGTACTTTCGTGCGTATAGTCCGCGGACTATCTGTGTTTAAAATGCGAATTTTTGAAGCTGCGGACTATCCACCAGTGCGGATAATACGCTGGTTGTTCACGGTTAAAATCGTTGAAATTTTAAAAAACACGCTGTCGGGAACGGAACTGCCGATGATCAAATATAAAAAAAGCGCGAGATTCCAAGAAAACATTCGTATGTATCGTATCGATAGTAAACCATAGAGCATAGTGCAGAATGAATGAGTAGTAGCAAGTAGAAGCTCCTAAAATCCAGGCTGGCGCATCAAGCGATGCCGGGATATGAGCCAAAGAAAGTCTTGTATGAACACTCTCTTAGCGCAACCAGAGTCTTGTATCCCAGTGTCCTTCGCACTGCTTTAGCGCAACTGCCGGGAGGGGGAAAAGTAATTGATGCGTCAGCTCGGTTTTTAGGAGCCATAGTAGCAAGTACCTGGAGTACAAAAAAAAAAAAACGTGATTCGTTTACTCGGTGGTTTGGCAACACCGAGTGAGTGGGGTCGAAGGTCACATTTCATTACCACTTATGACGAGTATAGCACGTTCCATAGTATTTTGTCTTTCATCTTCGATAACGTTGATGAAACATCGCCGGGAAAAAGATGAAAATAGAGAAGCAGGCCGTTATTGGTTTAATCCTAGTATTCGGTGCACACGGGATTTGGCTACTTTTGGCGACTTTATGATGAGCAGTAAAAACGGGACATATACGATGAGTAGTTAACGGGTCATTTAAAAAAATATATATAGTTTAACATAGTATATACTACATATATAGTATATATACTATGTATATACACACATAGTATATAGTGCATAGTATATATATAGACGTTTTCTTTGGATCATTTTTTGGTGTTGGCGATAATTTCAAAGTCGCGCCAAGGCTGCACCGTATAACTAGGATTTTACCCCATTATTTTGAAGTGGACGAGAAAGCGGTGAGAAATTGGCGCAAACAAAGGATGTGGTTTAAAAAGCATGGGAATATTGCCGTATTTAAAAAACGTAATTTCGGATGTTATAGTCCCGCGACTATCTGACGATTTTTGAAATTTTTTTTATATAAAATCTTGCGTGCGGACTATACGTGCGAAATTACGGTAAGTGTTGAGTAATGTGTGGTATGAATGTTATTCACGTAAATATTAAAATAAGTAGGTCCAAGCAAAGACCCCTGCGAGGATAGGGTATAAAAAAAGTTCTTAAAGTAATTGTAGTACATAAATAACAGTTTTTACGTACTTTAAAATAATTAATAAATGATAATAATTATTAAATAGTAAATCATAAATGATTATAATCAATTATATAAATAATAATAGTTAATTATAAATGTAAAACATATATTAAATTGAAAGGACTAAATAAATACAACTAATGTAAAACTTTATGAAGCATTTAAATACAGTAATTACCTAAAAACAGCTCGAAGTACTCTAGTGGATCAGAAATATTTGTTACACAAGCTTTCATGCCCACATCACCAGTAAAACTAAATCGGCTAGAAGCGTGATAACTTGAATCTATTTTACACAACTGTCGAACACACGAAAAATCTTTCTCATCGCTTGAATCGTCTTCTGAGCTTGATATACTGGGAACAAAGTCTTCATCAGACTCCAAACTTGATAAGCTTTCTGTATCACAATAATTATCACTGTCATAATTATCTAACTTTCGCTTTTGAGGCATTTTACTTTACAACACCCTAAAAAATGTGCCAAAATACGTATAAAAAGAACAAGGTAAAAAAAAAAAAATCCCTCTTCATTATGAAAAGAAATTCATGTAACCCGTACTGCCATCTGTAGACGGGAAAACTAATTAAATTTCGCGAGTAGGATTCCTTTGTAACATAATCAATGCAAAATAATTATGGCGAACCAGCTCAGTACGTCAGCGAGCACTGGGGGAAAATTTCACTATGTGACTAGTGCTCATTTCTAACCATTTTGGTTGAAATTTTGCTCCCGAGCAGAACTCGTTTGCGTGCATTATGAAGCACAATGCGATTGTGAGCTGAATTCGTTCATAACCATCATAGGGTTAAAATATAACGGTGTTGGCGCTTACCCCGCATAAAATTGAATTCAACAGCAAAATCACAAAGTATTTGAAAACATGCACTTCTTTAGAATTTCCGACAGAGAGTTTCGAGTATTGGAGATAAAAGTGTTTTATTCTGTACAGTGTTACAGTTCCTGGCTTTGAAATTGTCGAGTTTGTTAATAAAAATTTCATTAACAAAATTTGAAATAGGTAATAAAACAAATTCGAAAATCAGGCTTCCAGGTGCCCATGTTCAGTGCAGGACTATGATATTCAAAATTTGATGGTTATGGATACCACTGTTATTTCACAGTGTGAGAAACATATATTCATGCATATTCTTCATTATTTAATTTTTTTAAATATAATGCAGGGCAACAATCTGAAAAGTCATACAATGCATTTGAGTGTTTCGAAGCAAATTGCCATTCGGGACTAATGGTCTTTTTGGGCTGGGGGGGAAGAAAGGTTTCAGATTTTAAATTATGTCCAAAGAGGCGTTTTTTTAATGTTTTTGTGTTACCTATATTTATTAAATATCATGTTCTACATACTAATACTATAAAATTCAGTTCAACAGCAATATCGCAAATTAATTTTAAAATGAGGATATCTTTAGAATTTCTGATATAGAGTCTCGCACGCTGGAGAGAAAAAAAATTTTTGTTGTTGTAGTATTGTCGTTTTCAAATCGTTTAGTACTTCATTAAAAATTCGTTGAAGTGTTACATACATTTATGCAGATTCTTCATTATTTATTTTCTTTAAATATAAGATAGGTGATAATATATGGTGGCAACGATAAAAATTTTTGTTGTTGTAGTATTGTCGTTTTCAAATCGTTTAGTACTTCATTAAAAATTCGTTGAAGTGTTACATACATTTATGCAGATTCTTCATTATTTATTTTCTTTAAATATAAGATAGGTGATAATATATGGTGGCAACGATTTGAAAAGTGATACAGTCCTTAAAGTTTTCAATGCAAAATGTCAAAAAGAAATTAATGTAAATGAAAATAAAACAAAATCAGGGTAAGGTGGTTGGCAACAAATTTGTCAGCATCCACAGAGACGACTACATACAATTTTGGAAAACGCCATTTTTCTCGTATTTTAAAAGTTTTGCTTGCATTCTACAAATATAACAAAACTTAAGAGTAATGCAACCTTTTAGTTTAGATATTGGAATAAGATTACTTCATAATATATTTTTGTGGAAATTCTAACAGAAAATATAAAATATTCTTGTTTCGATGAAGCTACTTCCCTACTTATAAGCCAAGTTCAGCTGTGTTATAAGCTTAAAGTATTGTTATAATTTTCACTTTTTAACTGTTATGTGAATAATTAACAAAAAAGAAGAGACACAAATTCCATACTGTTTTTTAAAAATTAATTTATTATGCATTCAAAGACCTTGTATAACAAGTAGTTGGCTCCAGTCTGTGCTGAAATATACAAGCATAAACAAATGGTGTAGCTATCACTAACTCAGTGTGCAGTTTCTTGAACTATAACTGTATGAAATTCAGATGGCCAAAGAAAATGTTAACAGTGCAGCAATACAAGATTTCAGAAGCAGTGTTCAAGTGCAACGACTAGACAGCCCACTACGGAAATCAAGGTCATTGATATATTTGAGAAGCATGTCCTTTGCCTCTTGGTATTCTAGTGAAATCATTTTATTTTTTTTACAAAAGTTTGTACAGACCTATTATACAATAAACAACACCAGGAAGTGTCTACGGCCTTCCTGAAAATAAATAAGTTGCATTTTGTTCAATGACAAATGCACACATATAAACAAATTTACAATAACACACATACACATTTAAGCTTTTTTTGACAGACCATGCATTTTGTAGACTGTTTACTAAAAACTGCATGGATTTTTCACCTTTGCATAACTATAGCTTCAAGCAAGTAAATATAGTGTAAATTGCATCCGTATTCCAACAAGGTGCTTTTCTGTTGCAATGGCTACACTGGTGCAAAAAAGGAAGGTTGTTATTTTTAAAAACTAAAATTTCATAGCAGAATTTGAATTTAGCCATTCTCCCTGCAATCATTTCATTAAAATAAAAAGCAATTTACAAGATTTTAGGGAATATCTATGGCAAGCATTAATCCTAAAATGCCAGATAGCAATTGCAACTATATATAACTTCAATTATTAGTTTTTACAAAGGCATAAGATTTCTTTTTTGCTTTATCTTGCAAAACTTGCAGCATAAAAAATTAATTTCCAGCTTAAGCAGAAATTCATTAATTTATCCAAAAAATATGCATTATAAAAATAGGAAACATCATGATCCATTATACTTATGTAACATTACTTCATACAATCGTTATGGAAAATTTACTATAGATAAAGTTATTTTTTTTAAACACATGGACATTATAAAACTCAGTTTATCTATCAAAGTATTTATCAACAATTTATTGCTTCATTGAAATAGAAGAGTCACTCTCAAAATGTGAAAATGGCAAACTTCACTCTTATGCAAGATAAAAGCAATTATGAAATTAAATAAAAATTTTAAAAAATCAAGAAAATAAGGTTTCATATCACAAATTCACTGAGCTCATTTTAAACACACGATTCTATTATGTTACATTGCTGACTTCGTTTTAAATCTCAGTACAACCACAGTATAGAAGTAAAAAGTTCTCTTTAAACAAATACTACATGCTTAGAATTCACTTTGGAAAGGGGAAGGGGGATTATTTTAACTAATTTTCAGATTGTATTCTTTTTATTAATAGCAGATATCTGGAATATAGAAAATACATAACTTTAAATACACATTTTTGTTTTTCTTTTAAAGATTATTCGTATTCACGTATACTGTTTTGTAAATAGGTATCAAAGATAAAATTTGCATGCATTACAAGTTGGGGAAAAAAAAAAAAAAAAAGAGGAGAGAGAGAGAGAAATTTTTTTTTAAAGGATAAAGAAATTGACCCCCCCCAAAAAAAATGAAAAAAATTAATTATTCTAAAATTATTCAAATTCTATTCTGGAGGAGGGAGGGAAACCCTGTATGTAGTAGATGTGTATTTAATACTTAATCATAAATATCTGAGAGTGAATGAGCTACTTGTTATTAGTTGTTCTGTGATTCAAGCTATCACTAAACATTGCACTTGTGGAATAGTTTTAAAAGGAAGCAATGAAAGCAAAAAGAATTAAATAAAGTCAAAAGACATAACTGTATGCCACTCCTTCTAAAGCATTTTGATTTGCAATAAAAAGTGTATATTGCATGTACATAGTAACAAGTGCACAAAATTATGGCATTAGAATATATACAAAGTGGAATAATAAAGTGGCCACTGATTTATTTAAATATACATGTGAAAGTATTTCGTTTATGCAGTAAATATACATTTCAAAGTTTTCATAAGCAGTGCAAATATATATAGTGAAATTCCAGCATTTTCCAATACATATAATTTTCTATTATTTGCAGCAATAAGTTTAAAATATGGTGACTCTCTATATCTGAAAACAGTTATTCGATGCAGCAATATAAAGAGAGATATGTATTGAAATTACTCTAAGGGGTTAAAAATTTAATTATCCTTAACATAATTAATTATCCTAATACAGGTGACACATTTTAACAGTAAAGAAAGCAAATCTAAATATTATGATTCACAAAACTGCATTAATTTTGCCTGCTTATTTACCTATCCTGACTAGATGATAGATGAAGGAAGCTATTACTGTTTCAAGATTAATTCTTAAAAACTTACGGCATTAAGTACATAACACTTATCATTATTATTCATCAAAATTTAGTATTTCCTAAATGAAAAGAAAAAATATTATTTTACAAATTTAAAAACGTTTAGCATCAGTCACATAAAAACATGTCAACAAAAATCTATGGAACTACTTTTGAAAAACAAATCGATTAAAAACTTTAAATATTCAAACTATTTAAAATGATTTAAATGTACATTAACATGTCAGTTACTAAGAAAACTTTGAGATAGAGACGTCATGCTTCATTAATTAAAAAAATTAAAACAAGGCAGTGGAATTGGAGCGCATGCAACTTTTCATTAGTAATGCATAGTTAGACTGACAAATGTAAAACTGGTCACAAACTTTGGCACTAAAACTCTATATAAAACAATAATAATAAGAGTGTACAGTTTTTAGATTTAAATTGCCCCCCATCTGAAACATACATATATATACAAACAATTAATTACATGCAAATTTCTATTCAACAAAGGGAAAACAGTTGTGCAATACATAAATTTAAACACGGATGACAGAACATTGTCCCTCTCCTGCTTACATTTCATTCACGTATGTACGAAATATTGCATTTTTCATAGTAAAATTACCTAATTTAAAGTTTTACTGAATTTATATCACACAAAAACATGAAAGGAATAATGTAATGTGAACATGCAAACATCTAAAACAAAACAAAAAACAGATTAATATTACTAAAGTAAAATAACTTTACAATTCCCCTTTGCTTAAAGTTGCATAGCTTATATGTTCTCAAAAAAGTTTTGGATTGGCATTATCTTTTTATTACATAACATCATATATTTTTACAAAATAAGCAGAAAAAGCATATCAAATGCTTTATATTATGCATCAGCAAAAATGTTAACCTTTTATAATGTATAGCATTTGTAAAAAATATAAGTCATTCTTTTTTCTGTCTTTTTGCAATTTTATAGTGCAAAACACATCAACTATTATTGCTCCGATTCTTTCATTCAAATATCAACCATATTTACTCTAATAGGCATATGTTTATACATCTCATAATTTAAATATTTACTGGCTTCAGTATTAAAATTAGGCAGTTAAGTCTTTTTTTTTGCTTTCAAATGCAATTTTTTTTTTCAACTCAGTTAATTCAATTTTAGACTATATTAAGGGTTATAAATATAAAAATAGAAGTATAGGCCTCTGGATGATTTGCTATTGTTAGACATTATTTCACTTCCATTATTAAAGTAAAACCTTGCATAATTGATAAGGAACTACTTCTAGGTACTATATAATTCTAGTTCCAAATCTTCCCTTTCATACTTATTTGGTAATGTTAAAGTATGTTAACATGAATTCTACATCTTGCATCTTAGTGAGCTTTGTTCCATATACTTGATTGCATAGTAAATATATAAACAACAGCACCATTATTACTCAAATAACTTCTGATTGCTTTCATAGGAACAAAGCAATGAAATGAAAGCTTAATGATTTAAAATAAACTTAGCAGATTATGTAGGCAATAACGCAAATAAATGAACAACAATCACTTCTTTAAAAAAAAAAAAAAATACACTAATAACACTTCAATGCTGTAGTTCAACTTACTTAACTATATAACAGAATGCAAAAAATAATCATTACATATTTAGTATTGCCATTGCGAGTTACCTTACATTTGCAAATAAAGTGACACTATGACTATTAAAATTACATTTAAATCACTATCGGTGTATTTTGCCAGTACATAACATGAGCAACTTCTTTATTCTACCTTTTGCAAGTCACAAATATTGCTTCTAAGCACATGCATCACAGAAATATGCCCAGCTACTGAAATAAAAAGTATTTAACAAATCTTTACCATTTTTCTCGTTTTGAAACAAGGACGGGAGCAATGGGCTAAGACTCAAAATGTGACATAACTGAATATATTAATGTACCTACAGTCAAAATAACAAATGATAAGCACCATCTTTCCACAAACAGAATAAAGAAAAACATACATGACACACAAACACTCTGTTGCATATTTACATAATGTTGCAGATCACAGATGAATAAAGAAAGAGATGAGCAGCACAAGAACAAATATACAGCTGCAATTCAAAATTAAGTACACCAACAGTTTTTACTGGAAATGATATGCTGCTCTTTCCACCTCTTACAGTTCCTTCCTGGAATCTTGCCACTGGAAAATTGGGCAAATATTGTCACAATTTCATTTCCAAGATCTGATATGTTATATGTACAGAAGAAACCTTTTTCTTTTTGACTGGCCTGGTTGCCCAGGAGGAACAGATGCCATCAATGAGCAAAGAGGGCAAGCAAGCTACTGGGGCTCGCAGCACCATATCTCGAAAAAACGGTCTTCGCCCTTTGCCACTTCGGAGGCATATCACATCGTGCCCAATGAGACTTCAAACCAGAAGTTTTTTTTTTTTTTTTTTGTTTGTTTTGTGTGGCAGCAATGGCACCTGTTAGAAAAAGAAGTCACGGTGCTAGACCCAACTATCTTATTTTACATGTCTGACCGAGTTCATTTGAGCTTTGCTATACTAAAAATCCTTCCGACATATTTGCATTCAATTGTGCTCTCATTGTTTGAATGCTGTTAATTATCTTCTTCTGATGGCCAACTAAAGTAACTCCTAGAGCATCTTTCAGAGTGATTCTGGTCACAGCATCCATCGTTGTGATACCAGCCTGCTGGAAATTTTCTTGATAACGTGCCATTTTGATCCCATCGAGCCACTCATCAACTGTTTTAAACTGAGTCATGTCTGGTGCATTTGGATCCAAAGGATTTTGATGTCTAGAAAATATAAAAAATATACAATAAAAACCAAGTATTACTAAATAACTATTATTCTCTTTTTATTGTACATTAGTGTACTGCTTCATTTTTATTTTCTTTATACAGTCAAAAGTCTTTAATCCGAAATGATCTATAATCCAGACCTCAAAGCTACAAACTTTCGGCGCATGCGTAAACGCAATTGCGCAAAGGTATTATGCGCATATACGTTTACATATGCGCGTTTAATGTATAACAGACGGTATAAGCTAAGCTAAAATTATCAAATTATCTATTTCAGTTAATGTTGCAGATTGCGTTGTTCCTTAATCTTCTGATTGGATCCGGCTTATTATTTTTTGCAGACTGTTAGAGCAATTTTATAAAACTAAGCTTGAACTTTCGATTATGTCAAATAGAATTTCCGATTCTGGAGCTGCCAAAGGATCTACAAAGCGAAAGCATGTTTCGATGTCCATTAAACAAAAAGTGGAATTGCCGTCGCGGTGGCGCAACGAACTGGAAGTTGATCTGTCAGCACTATCCTTATCTTCAAGGCAGATGTTTTTATTTTATTCGGCTTATAATTCCTTACTAAATGTAGTATTTCATCTCGATGTACTCCGTCTTTGATATGATTTAAATCAAATTCCTTGTCATTATAAATATCACGAATACACATCAAATAGTTTTCTGGTTGCAATTTTCTAATTTCGACAATGCGTAATGTATATGCTTTAGGCATGCGCGCGTTGAAAGAAATGTTTAATAAAGTAAACAAATAGAAATTAAACTTTTTTTTTTTGTAAATTTTGATACCCTTTAGATCATAATTGCTCTTTATTTCATAAATTACGGTTTCATATTTTTAATTTTATAATTTCTGCATGCCATCTTACCAGATTTAAACTGATGATATATAATCCGGATTCGCCGAAGTCCTGACGAGTCCGGATTAAAGACTTTTGACTGTATACTGAATATTATGCAAATTTCATGAAATTTTATTTATAAACTTAAAGGAGAGTGTTAAAAGAAATATTGGGTCATCCCAATAAATATTATCTGTTTTCTTTTCTTTTCTTTTTTTTTTTTTTTTTTTTTTTTCCCAATGGCAGATTGTGAACAATTACAAATGTAACCCAGCCCATTAATCTATAAAATGCCGGATGTGGTGGTCTCTTTATTATGGAGGCACCTAATAGGTGGGCCACCATCGCCTTTCCTATGAAGGGACGGACAGTTACAACCATGCCTTCTTCGGGATTCGAACCCAGGCCCTTCGACATCGCAGTCAGCTTCCCCGACCGCTATACCGACTGTTGTGTGTTTTCTGATAAAGCGAAAAATCTAATTTTATGACAGATTATATCTGAGTAGCTCTTAATATGCCTTTTCTACCATCCATTCATTAGCATTTAAAGAGCTGAAGAAAACTTTTAAAACACAGCATATTCCAGATAATCTGTTGAATAAGAAAAGCATATTCCTCTAGCAAACAGTCTCATATGAAAAAAAGGGGGGGAGGAGGTGAATCCTTTGCAAAACTATAAAAGGTGAAAAGATAGCCCCTCCCCCTAGAACACAAGCAACATTAAAAGGAAGAGAGAAAGAATATAACTCTATATGTATGTACGATGGGAATGATAGGAAGTATGTTTAGAGCTGTTTCTTGAAATATAAGGAGAACAATTACATGTTAAAATAAAAGACCTGCAGTAAGTAATAGAAAGGATGCATTTTTTCAGCATAACAATGCAAGAACTTGCATGACACAAGAAACATAATTAAAACTATGAATATTTGAAACAAGGTTTCCGTTGGTGAACCTGCAGAAGGATCATTACCGATGGTCAGATTCATCTGGCAAAAAAAGATTGGTTAAACTCGGAGGCTTCGCCTTCCTTCCCTGTGCTGCGCGCCACAGAGCGGCATGGAAGCACAGAAAAAACTTTGAATGCTTTTTTTGAAATCCCAAGTGGTGAGAAATAGTGTCTAACCCATCTTATACTTCTGGTATGACACCATTAGTTCCTTTTGGAGCTTTCAAAATGATGTTAAAAGAAATTTTTTATTTTGAAATCTAGTAAAAACCAATGCTGCATATTATTGAATACTTTGCAAATGATATTAGATTAAAGCATAATGAATTTTTGTTTTGTAATATTTTTAAATTTATATTAAAACCTAGCAATATTTAAAGGTGATCCAACAGTAACATACTTGCCAACCTTATGACACTAAAAATTCAGATTTAAAAAAATTGTTCACAATGTTAAAAAGACTTTTTAAGATAAAAATATAGTTTTTTAATAATGAATTAACTTTAAATAGTTACTAATACTTAAATGCAAGCAACACAAAAATACCTTACACATAAAAAGCATTTTTATTACTTGCATTGTTTAAGAAAACAAAACAACACAAAAAAGACATTTTAATCAGTTTTCGTACAAATGTTATAAACAGTGGCAGATTCGTACTTAGATAAACTTACAGTAATCGGAAAATGTTTCGTGTGTCGAGCAATTTTTTTTTTTTTTTTTTTTTTTTTTTTTTTTTTAACTTTGAGAACTGCTAGTTGAATTGCTGAATGGTGCAGAAATTACTTCAAACCTATTTTTAACAATGGAAGTTGTAACTACATCTCCATTTACTTTAGGTATTTAAACTTTTAATACCGCCTTTTATTTTAACTTTCGAAGCATTTACTTCTTTAAAAAATGCAAGATGTGGGTTCCATTGATTGAGGATTCTAGATAAGCATTTCTTTAAAGACAGCCAGCATGTACACATGTTTCAAAATTTTTCTCATTTCAGTATTATGCAGCTGTTGGAACTGTTTCAATTTTATTTCCTTTTTTAGAACTCCTTTCAGGATAATAATAAATATCAACAATGTGTTCATCCACATTTATTGGTAAAGAAGCTGCCCCTTTTTCAGCTGCTAAATTTAAGATATGACAGGTGCACTTCATAATCTGCAAATCTGAATTTTCCTTTCTTATGCCTGCAACACCAGTCTTCAAGCCTACCATTACTGGTGCATTACCGGCATCAAGTGCTAAGCAATTATCCAGAGGGACTGCATTTTCTTTTAAAGTTTTAATAATTAGCTGTGCTATATTAAAGCCTGTCGAATGTACTTCTAAAGTGGGGACAGAAAGTAAACTGCACTCAATTTCTGAAGCGTGATCCGATGCATTCAGTGACAAGTTGTGCTCCAGTAAAAAGGCAACGAACAGACATTCAGCATTAATAACTATTTGGTCCTTTGTTTCCGAAGAAAAATTTAATTTTTCAATTTTTTCGAAACAACTCATGTTGTTCTTGTGTTTTTGTGTATGTACATGATTGAGAACATCCACCCGTCCACCATGCAAAATTGAAAAATCCCAACGGCAGACGGTACACATCGCAAATTTATTAAATTTCCTTGAGGAAATAATGGAAGGAAAGTCAACTGTGTACGATTTTTGAAACGTACAGGTGTATTTCACCTTTTTCGCAGATATAACAAAAGATGATAATTTCTAAAACTAATTCCCGAAGGCACGTGTACTCACACAACTCAGGACAAGATGAACGAAATAACACTAAAGGGCATCCAAATAACCGCTTTAAATCACTTTTTTCTGTTCATATAACGAGTATTAAGCCAAGTTCCATAAAAATCGTGAGAAATTTTAAGAATAAGAAAAAGTCGGGAGAAATAGATTGTAATTCGGGTTGGCGGGAAAGAGGTCAAAAATCGGGAGTTTCCCGCCTAAATCGGGAGAGTTGGCAACTCTGCAGTAATATTAATAACCTACAAGGATATTCAAAGGTATTACAGTGAAGCACTGTTCATTTATAATTCTTTTATACATACATCATCATTTATACATAGTTTCATCTTGGTCTTGATTCATGTTTATTTTAATTCTAAAATATTTCTTTTATACCGGGTGATCAAAAAGTCAGTATAAATTTGAAAACTTAATAAATCACAGAATAATGTAGATAGAGAGGTAAAAATTGACACACATACTTAGAATGACATGGGGTTTTATTAGAAAAGCAATAATCTGATCAGAAAAGCAATAATTAGCATAACAAATTAAGACAAAGCAAAGATGATGTTCTTTACAGGAAATGCTCAATATGTTCAACATCATTCCTCAACAATAGCTGTAGTCGAGGAATAATGTTGTGAACAACATTGTAAAGCATGTCCAGAGTTATGTCGAGGCATTGGCGTCGGATGTTGTCTTTGACAACATCCCTAGATATGTCAGTCGATCACAATACACTTGCGACTTCAGGTAACCCCAAAGCCAATAATCGCACGGACTGAGGTCTGGGGACCTGGGAGGCCAAGCATGACAAAAGTGGCTGCTGAGCACACGATCATCACCAAACGACGAGCGCAAGAGATCTTTCAAGCGTCTAGCAATATGGGGTGGAGCGCCATCCTGCATAAAAACGTACGTTCCAGCAGGTGTTTATCAGCCAGGCTGGAGACGATGCGATTCTGTAACACATCGGCATACCCGTCACTCGTCACGGTAGCAGTTACAAAACCAGAATCACGCATTTCCTCGAAGAAAAAAGGCCCGATAACAGTAATCTGTCGGACATTTTTTTAACTTTTGTTTTTGGTTCTAATAAAACCCCAAGTCATTCTAAGTATGTGTGTCAATTTTTACCTCTCTATCTACATTATTCCGTGATTTATTAAGTTTTCAAATTTATACTGACTTTTTGATCACCCTGTACATTGTATAACTTCGGTTATGCGTCGCTTTTGCTTGACTTATTGTACTGGTTTTGCATTTTGCAGTTCCACCATTCAAGTACTTTCTCCAGAAATGGGTACAAGAGAAGGAAACAAAGAAGTTGAAAATCAGTTCATGAAGAGCAGATACTTGTAAGGAAAAACAAATATGTTTGTTTTTCTTTTGAACAGGACACTGCGTTAGGTGTGAACTAGGCAGAACTGATACAATGTCACAAAAGCAAAAGGCACTTTCACTAAAATTTAAATCATAAAAGAATCTGATTAAAATATTGGTTTGAGATGAAAGTTGAATTAGCAAAGAAACTGGATATGAAAGTTATCTGAGGTCAAAACCATTTTGCATTCAGTGTCTTGCATCCAATATTCCAGTGAATGGCCCCTCGGATGTTAATCGAGAAGTCAAAAAAAACAGCACTTTGACAAATATGAAGGAAGATAGCTTGCATTTTCAACTGGATGGTTACTTAAATTTAAACTGTGGCATGGAACCCCATGTCATATGAAAAATGGAGAACCAAAAAGCATTCCCGCTGAGTCTGTTGAAGAGTGGTTCAAGAATTTACGCATCAAAATAGATGGATATCAATTAGAAGACATTTCTCTAATGTTCGTGAAATTCCTCTTTTCTTTTAACTTATGCCTGTGAGAATCCTAGCTTTCAAAAGTGACCAGTGTAATGGAGCTAAGCAAAATAAAGAACATCTCAATGTTTTACTTTGTACAAATGCTGATGGTACGAAAAATATGCCTCATTTAGTTAGAGGAAAGTCACAAAAGCCAAGCTACTTCAAAGATGTAAAACTATGTCATTAAAATACAAAAAAGTTACGGAAGACAAAACTGCAAATTTTTACTTTTAATGGATCAGTGTACTGGCAGTCCTCAAATGACAAATTTCTTGCAAAATGTGAAAGTTGTTTTCTCCTGCCAAATTCCACTAGTGTAGTACAATCTTAGATCTGGGTGTCATAAAGAATTTTAAAATGTTCTACAGGCAAAAAAGGTTCATTCAAACAGCCCTCCAAAATATAACTAATACACAGAAAATTTAAATATTTTTGAGGCTATGAATATGATTTCACTTCTCTGGATTCAAGTAAAGACACAAACAATTAAAAATTGTTTCATTAAAGGTGTATTTTCAAACCCAAACTCAGGTGAGCAATTGGCAATGAAAATGATAAACTGTGATTATGAATGAAGAAGCCTCGAAACTACTGGCATTAGACATTACAACTGAAGTCTACATAAACTGTGATGCTATTGTAATGACGTTAGATTTATACACAATTGAGGGAACTAATTGAAAACATCTTACCAGTTGAACACTAAAATAGCAGGGATGAAGATGAAAATAAATAATCTCACCCTCTATTCAAAATGCTGTTTACTGCATGGACAACATGAGAAATTTGAAATGAAATTGATTCATAGCACTTCGCTTAAGATTCAGAACACACAGACATATCGAACAACAATTAAAGACTTTTTCTTTAAAAAAGTTAAAATCCGTTTTAAAATGTTCATTGAAAAAAAAAAGGTTACATATTCAGGATGGTAATTCAAGAAAAGGTACTACTCCCCCCCCCAAATTTACATAACTACAAACAGAAATTTGCATTCTTATGCTTTTAAAAATATTAAATTTTTATTAATATCATTTTTTAACTATTATTTTAAATGTTAAAAATATTAATTAAAATTTATTTTAAATATTAATTTTAAATTTGTTTGAATATAGCTAATATTTTAAACAAATTGTGGTGTATCAGTAGTTAAGTAAGTATCAAAGTTGTGCACCTAAATAAATTTAAATTTTGTTTATACATCTTTCTCATTTATACAGTGTTGGTGAAATGGTCCCTTGAAAGATTTATACACAGTGCCCCATTGTACTTTTAAATGTTTCAGCAAATGGAGAATTATAAAAGCAAATAACATTACGTTTCTGCTGCATTATTATTGCTTTCTAAATTTCCTCGGTCTTTAAAACATTCATAAAATTCAATCTCAATTTTGCATTAGTCCATTTCAGTAGCTAATCTAACATGGACCTTTTTTCATTTGCAGAGAAAAACATCTTCACTTCCACTCTACTTTAAAAAGCTTTACATAATGAGTACAAAACGCCAGTTATTCACAAAATCAAATGGGTAGGGATGGAGGAAAAAATCAATTTCAAAAATGAGATGTGTACTCATAATTAATATCAAAATATTTTACATATGTTAAATCGTAACACTTTCCTCCAGAAAAGTGTTCAGGAGCTGAAGTGAAGGGTTTACCTGTTTTGGGCTATCTTTTTCAAGCTTTCAGGACATCTCATTAACTTATCTAAAGTTTTGACAATAATCGCAAATGTTGGTCTGTGAGCACGTTCTTTCTGCCAGCAATCCAGCATTAGTTGGTGTAAAGCTTCTGGACAATCCTGGAAAGAAACATATATTTTTGTTTTGCTTTCAGTTGTTACAAAGATTTTTTAGTTAAAAGTGATGAAAAGTTTAAAGGAACATAATTTAAAATGGCACATAAAAATTATTACAATTACCATGAAGGCCTATATTTATAGTTTCAGTTAGAGATCTACCATGGCACCCCCCCAAAAAAAAATTAAATAGGGAAATAGCTTTATTAGATATGTTATATATCAAGCAAAATGGTCATTTATAAAGGTAGAAAAACAGCAATCCCAAATGTACTGTCATCAGTAAAAACCCAACCATGTGTATTTTTCAATGAACTATTGTTTTTTTAATAATTAGGCTTAAAAATTCAGAATCCTTTATATTCATACATACAAGAATGAGAAGGTACATTATAAAATACAGTGCAGTGACTTTACTATTAAATTATGAATTAATAAGTAAAGCTATTAATTATATTAATTCAGCTATTAATTCTAATTATCATTAATTCATGAATTAATAGAATAGCTCATATACTGCTGCTACATATTAATTTCTTCATAATACTTTAATATATATTACATAAATTTCACATTACATGAAGAATTTGCTCTTACCTGTTGTAGATTTTGGTGTGTATTATGATGGGTATGGAGTTACGTTGTAATTAGTATTATGTATATAGTAAGAATATTTTTAAAATATGCTTCCAAATAAAATAAATCCTCACTTATCAGTAATAATAAAAACATTTTGAACACAATATTAAGCATAAGTATTGGCTATGTGTAATTTAAAAATATATACAATTAATTTTGCATTGTAAAATTTAAGACTAAATTTAATTAACTTTAACTATCCCAAACATTCATCTTGAAAATTTAAGATTAGAGTGTAACATTTCAGAACACATTTTATCATTAAATAAACAAAATGTTTTTCGCTGCCAACTCATAAAACTATAAAATCACTATTGGAAGCCCATCCAACGGTACATTCAGCCCTTAGGTGAAATATAGATTTAATCCTTATCGGACACTGCTGATGGAGAGTTGATAGTGCTCAGGGTACAATGATCATATAAAGGATATAAAATTTATATGATACATACAAACAATGTTGTCATCAAAAGAAATGTAATATTCAATGAAAACAAAAAGGAAGCACTACCTAATCAAGTAAATGATTAGAATGAGGAAATACAATGGTCTTTTAATCCATTCATGACCAACATCCTGTAGGCCAGGCACAACGATTCCATTCTCGCCAGCCCAGCATTGCTTTGATGTAAACAGCACCAACCAGTCTCTTTGGCCTAGCATCACGTATGCATACTTTGAAAACTGAATAATTTATTTGAATTTTTAAATGGCAGTAGATGGGGCTAAATGGTAACAGTTTCCACATCGGTTGAATGATATGCCTGTAGTCCTTCATGTATGGGCATCGATTTCTGTTCTGGTTTTGACAGATTTATTGGTGTCAACAAACTGGGAATCACAGCTCTTTATATTAAAGGGAACCCAGCATTTTTGTTTATTTTGTTAGGATTTTTTTTTTTTTCTTTTTTCTTCTCATTAGTAGAATGTGGGGAAGTGCATCCAGCTCAAAGTGTTCATTTGTTATTTGCTTTTTTTTTTTGGTAAGAGAATATGGGAAAACACATCTAGCTGTCTATAGCAGGTGTAATGTGGCCGAACTTCTGCGATGAAATAAATCAGACCAATTTTTTTTTATATTTGTTTTAAAACTTAATTATAGACTTTCTTGGTTAATTAAAAAGTAACATTACAGCATTATTACAAAAGGAGAAAGACATCAGCTTTTGCGATGCGCCTTACTTGCTTGGCTTTTCTGAGAAAAAAAGCCATCCTTGCCCTGTGTGTCGATCCTCATTTTAAATTATTCCACATACTGCAGAATTTTTAAATCAAAATTTAATTTCCTCACATAATTATTGCTAATTATTGCTTAATTTACTTTTAAATTTTGTATTTGTAACTTTGTTTTCATGGCCATAGTTATAATTTTAGTATTTCACGTGTTTCATTTACTTCTATTAGTGTGATATTGTTTATATTACTGCATATAGAGAATTAGTATATTAAATACGTAACTTTAAAAATTGAGGTCATTATATTTAAATGCTGATTTTATATGGTTTGTAAAATTAGGCTTAACTGCTGAAAATGCATGGGCCAATGGTGACGTTCCATTTCAGGGGGTTTGGTCCCGTGACTGTGCTTCATTCCCTGTGTGCTGGTCCTCAAAGGGTTAAAGACATTTAATCAACAGAGTCATGTCCAGGTGCTACAACAGATGGAGGAATCGGAACAGAAAAAGTTCTCCTATTACTAAGAAGCAGAGTCTGTAAATTAAAGAAAGTATCTATGGACTAAAACAGGCAGCTCAAAATTGGAATTGCAAAATAATTGAAATCCTGTGCAAACGAGAATATATCCAAGGAAGGGCTGATCCATGTTCCTTCATATTTAAATGAGGAAAATACATAACTTGCTAACAAGATTAATAGTACCATTGAGAAATTCCATGGAGAATCAGAAAAGAAACTAAGCTATACACCCATGACTATGAAATACATGGAAGCAGTGGAAGCACTTTTATATTTAGGAAAAAATATTCAAGACCTGACATAGAAAATTCTGCTTGAATATTTAGCAGAAAACCAGAAAATCCAGCACACTGGACTGGGATGGTATATAATTAATGTTAAACGATATTTGAGAGCTACAATCAATTATATATTACATCTAAAATCAAATGGTGAACCAGTCGTCAAAGCTTACAGCAATGCTGATTGAGCAAGAGACAACTCTGACAGAACATCTACATCAGGATACATATTTCAAATAGAAAACAGTACAGTATCATGGGCAAGTAAGAAATAAAATTGTGTTGCCTTATCTTCAGCAGAATCTGAATACAATAACTCTAGCTTCAACTTTGCAGGAACTACAATGGATGAGACTACTAATGGAAGCCTCAGGTTTCATTCAACAGGAAGCTAACATTATATTCGAAGACAACATAACTTGTATAAATCTGTCCAGAAAAGAAAAAGGGAGCAGTTACACTAAATATATTGATGTAAAATATCACTGTGTGTGTATGATTTACACCACCAAAAGATCTTAAAATTACAACACTGCAACAACAAAATGATGCATGGAGACATGTTAAAAAACTTTTCCCTAGACCACAACTGAAATTTTAGTTCAAAAGAATTGGGCCCACAAGTGGCCGAGCGTTAAAGTCGCTGAACACTGGTAGTTCGGTCCGAGGTTCGAATCCCGCGAACGGGCTGGCTGCATGGGCGTTTTCGTAGATTTCCTCAAGTGTAACGTGTATACGAGCCAGTTTCCCTTAAAAAGTCCTCCACGAAGGCATCCTCCTCTTAGGCAGATAACCCTTGAGGCTTTGCCATAATCACACACACACACACAAAAGAATTGGTCTCATTTTGGATGGCACAGTTCATCAAGTGACAGACTGCAGAATCACCACTGGAAGTGGAAGTGAGGAAGCTGCCCATCCGACATTACTTTCACTTTTTATGAAATATAGACTTGATCCTATTAAAAATCTCTCTTACATAACTTATTACATTTCACTGACAGACAGCTGATAGTGCTTGTACCGCCATGCAATATTTTCAGCTAATAATAAATACGTTTTTAATACATTCTGCTGATAGACAGTTGATAGTGCTTGTACCCCCATGCAATATTTTCAGCTAATAATAAATATGTTTTTAAATACAAATTGTGTTTCTCATGTTCACAGTTTGGATTATCCCTTAATGAGCTAAGAAACTTTGATTCTACTTTAATATTTGCTTAGAGCCAGTTAACCGCATTTAGATGACAATACATGAACTTATGTTCCCTTAGAAACTAAGTTATAAATAATAAACCGAAAACACAAAAAATTGACAGGATGCAATGCAGGCATGCAACTTCGAAAGGATGCCAAATTAAAAATATGATTTCGGGAGGCCTATTATTACCTTGTTTATTTAAATCTTTAATTATACATATATTAAGAAAGTTTAACATTTTCTACTAGTTACTTTAAAATGAACATTTTAAGTTATTGAGAAAATACAACATGATTTTGATGTCATATACATTAATGATTAATTATTTATTAAATTACTACCACTATATTAGATTAATTATATTAGTTATTAAATTAAGCATAAAATATTAAATTTTATTATATTATGTTTTGAACTATATATAATTTGATTTTGCAACTTCTTTAATACTGATGAATAGGGAAGGAAAACCTGGCAGTATGTTTGAGTTACACAAGTGTGCACACTAGATCCAAATAAGACCTGGCTCATGTTTTTTGAAGAAAAAAATTCTAAATCTTCAGGTAAAGTGTTTTATCTATGCCAATAAGAAATTTTAAAATGCATGCACATTAAAATTTTTCATTTCTCTGCTTATGAATCTTGTGTTTACGATGACGTTTATCAAAATACTGATCATGAATCACATTTTTTAATTAGCACTACAGACACAGAGAAAAATGCAATAACAAATGTTGAGCACATTGAACAAAGTGTTGTAATAAGTTCCAAACACAATATTTTTCACATTTGGCATAGTGCATTTTAATTTGTCTGTTGCTGGGTATGTACTGCATCTCCCCCATTTTCGATATTTTTCTCCCAAGAAACAAATTTATGCCATTTTCATTCTTGTTTTCTGAATCAGTTATCATATGAACTAAAAATTCATTATCACTTCTATCCTCGTTTCCTTCAATAGATTCTTCACCAGCTGATAGATCATCTAATAATTTTTGCAACATTTCTTCCTTGTATGACAAATTATGCAACATGTTTGTCACTTTCTACACAATCACATAACAGCAATGTGAATAGGTGCGCTGGGTCTAAAAGGTCCTATTTTATTAAAATAAGAATCAAAACCCAGGTGAACAATTTTGGAAACAAAGACAGGTAATGCTGAACGCACTGGACCTCAACAACTTATGGGTGAAATAGACCATGCTTTGTGAAAGGTTTGTTTAATCAGGCGGGTCCACTGGACTCAGCATGCATAATTTTTCTAATAAGCATAGTATAATTTTTCGAATAAAATAAAAATTTATTAGAAAAATTATGCTGGAATCATATGGGAAAATAATGCATAATTTAATTTTGCTAAGATATGACAAGATTGTTGCTTTAATTTTTCTTTAAAAAATTGCCATCAAAGTTTTCTTAATAATATTTCATTTTGACACTTCAAAATCAACAATTCTTTTTTAACTGTATCTGAAAGAGACGATCTAAATTCAAGATGACAAAAATTGATAAAAATTACAATTTCTCTTAGTTTTAACTAAATAGTTGGGAGCTCTGCTAAATCTTTACCATTAATTAAAATTAAATCTCAACTAAAATAATATCATTTCAGTTCTGAAAATTTTGGAGCTTATCCTGCATTCTATGTTTGAAAATGTAAAATGGTATAAATAAATATCAAAGCATCCAGAAATACACTATTATTTGAAAAAAAGCAAAACTTCACTTGAAACAAAATTATAAACAAAAAATATATAGACTCTATATATTACCACAAAAATTTGGTCATTTGGATCATAAGAATTAGGACAAGAAATTTTGAAATCTACATCATTATTATAGTGTTTGATTATTTTTTTAACACTTGCTGCAGAGTGTTTTTAAGAAATACAGATAAAATTATATTTTAATTAATTCCTTTGTTATGTCGACAAATAAAAACATCCTTTTGTAACATGACAGATAAAATGAAAGATCTCAGGTTTTGGTGATTAGCAAGAATTTCTGATTTTTATTTTGTAGTAACAAAAACTGCTACATGAAAAAATTGTATTTTTAAGATATTCATAAAATATATAAATACCCAAAGCAAATAGTAATTCAAATTTGGTTAAAAGTCATATGTGGATTAAAATATCACTCTATTCTTATATTTCAGATTTTTCCTCTTGCAACTTATGGGACTTCAAAGCCCCAAATCAAACATGTTTAAATATAAATGTCGACTCACGATCAAACTCCATGAGAGTTAAGTTTCTCTGTTATGGAATGGCAATGAGGGAGAGATTGTTGTTCGAAAAGATAGATGGTCGAATTCCATTGTAACATTATATTGTGGATGTTGCATCTTGTAAAATGAACCTACTACACACTGTGTTAAATACTATTAAAATGCTATAATATTAAAGATCTTTCATCTAATCTATTTTCTTAACAAACCACTCATTATTTTCACTTAAACTAAGAATGATGTTCATGACAATAAATGTTTCTGAAACTCATTTTAACATTCAATCAATTCATTTAATAATATGGTTTTATAAAACATTATTTTAACTCCTTCACACACTGGTCTTGAAAGAATAAAGCTGGAATAAAAGTGCAATGTTGAACATCAGTAATATGAAATAAAGAGATTTTATTTATTTATCTTTCTTACCATTGGAGCAGGAAGCCTATAACCTTTTTCTATACTTTTTATAACATCTTGATTTGACCAGTTCCAATATGGTCTTTCCCCATATGACATCACTTCCCAAAACACAATTCCAAAACTCCAGACATCACTTGCAGAAGTGAATTTGCGATATGCAATGGCTTCTGGGGCAGTCCACCTGACTGGTATTTTTCCACCCTGATATAACACAGTAATTTACATTAAGAACCAATCTTTAAAATATGTACTATATAAAGTTATACTTTTGTTAAGAATGCAATATTGAAAACTTAAATAAAAATGCACACCATTTCTTAAACTGAACTAAAGATAAAATGCATACCACATCAAATAAATGTATCTTTTCTTATAATAAAATTTATTAAAGGGGCCAACCCTCCCCACTTTTTTTCATGTAATTAGGTTGGATTTTACAAATAAAACAAACATAAACAGCATTAGCAGATGCAAAGATACAAATTTTTTTAACGTCACACAAAAATTTGTGTAAGTGTTTATTGATCTGAAAAAAAAAAAGTTATATAAAATTAGCTTTTATAATAATAATTTGAAGGTATGAAGTATATTCCTTTTTCTATTCCCCCCCCCAAACACATGCAAAATATACTGCATCTAACAGAAAACATAATATGAAAACAGAACATCTATATTTTTTTCTTTCTCCCCCCTTTTTAAAGGGGAGAACTTTCTGCCTGTTTAAAATTTATTTATAGAAATAGATAATTTTAATAATTATCAAAACTTCTGATATAAATTTGCAGACTAATATATACAGTCTCCATAATATGAGTATTATGATGCTATCAGCTCTTTTATACTGACAGCTAAAGTATATATAGCTTAATTTTTCAGAAATCCAATTCTTAGCTTTCATAAGATGTTTAGATAAACACACCAAATTTAACTGATATTGATCCAAAGGGATATTTTGATAGAGTATAAATATATCAAAAAATGTCTCACAATTTTGCATGCTTTTTATTAAAACATTGAAGGTATCTACAGAGTAATTTCTGTAAGGTACTTTTATAACTATACATATTTACAAAATTTAAATTAATACTTATATAATTTCAAAGTATGGCTTTGTGCCTATGCATTTCAATTTCAGGAAATTAAAATTTTTGTATTAAAAAAAAGTTCATACCCTTGTTGTATATGCACCTTCTGTAGCACTTTCTATTTCCCTCGACAGACCAAAATCAGCTATTTTACAAATCAAGTTTCCATTCACAAGAACATTGCGTGCTGCAAGGTCCTGAAATAATAATGAAATGATAAGCATTTATTAATCAAATTCAAAACAAGGATAACAATAAAATAAGGATACTGAAATAAAATGATACTGTAATTTATTAGTTAATTTACTGTATTATTATGACATTTATTATAAGCATATGTAATTTATAATTATTATCATTTGAAATTATGATTTGTGTATATCAATCCATTATATATAAGAGAAAGACACATAAAAGAAAATCCCATATACAGTAGTTACAAAAAATCCATAATAGTCACTTAATGTGCACTTCAAATAAACGAGAAGTGTAATAATGATTAATAATTACTATTAATAACTTTTTAGGAACTATACTTTTTTTAGGAAACTGTACCTACTATTATTATTATAATAATAGTAAGTTATTATTATTATAATGATAATAATAATTATTACAGTTTCCTAAAAAAAATTTCATGATTCTTCGTAGACAGAAAAAATACAAAAATCAAATGAAACATTCAAATGGAGTAACAATCATCCATCTTGAACCATCCAAACTTGGTTTATTTTCCATTTTTAAGCACAACTGCCAATCTTGAAATATGAGAAAAGCATCCAATAGTATTGAGTTTAGCACCATGCTATATAGGCCTTGAAAAGAGGTGCGAATTATTCGTGTTGCAGTGCATATGCAAATCATGCATCAGTATGCCACTTAGAAACACCATTAAAGGAAAAAAAAAAGTACACTGCTTTAAGTACTGAAATTGTGCATTTCTCTGTTGTTCCTTTACATCTCAGCTTTAGTATGTCTTGCCCCCCCCCCAAAAAAAATAATAATAGCCATTCGAGAAAGTTTCTAAATTTGATAAGGAAAGAATTTGGGTTTAGAGAGACTGCAGATTATCCTCGCAAGAAATTGATGCTTGTGCTGAATGAAATCAAGCCACAATGACACAATTGTGGAATTGGTAGGTTCAGGAAAAGACTGGCTGAAAGAAAAAGATTACACTAGGTTTATCACACCCCTAACAAAGAGAACAAAGATGATATGTGAAAAACTATATGACTCACACATCAATATTAAGAATTCTAGTGTAAGCATTACAGTCTGTTGCACAGCATTTTAGCACACATTTGCCACCACACTCAGAAGCCTATTGTTCTCTCTTTCAAGGCTTATTAGCAGCTAAGTTTCAACAAAACCATGTGTGACCAGATGTAGCATGCAACATTCAACAATTCTTCATTGCCCACCATCCTGCACTGCTGCCTTGCCCTACTTTTTCTCCTGCTATGTTGCCTACTAAATCTATCTGGTTGACAAGTAGCAAATTAGTGGTTCAGTATACACCACTTGCAGCTTTGCCAGAAGAATTGTGGCAGCACGCTTGAACAGCTAAGATTCTACCCCAAGGACACATTTCAGTGTCAAGGCATGCTGCAGCAACTATCACCATCCATGGCAACTGCACAAAATACTAGTTTCTTCATATTCCACAATTTAAACAAGATTCATCTTAATCAATTAACTCTCTACCTTATATTATTTGTCCAGTAAATGTGAGTTAGAAATTTCTTGTTTCTCTTGGTTATATAGATAGTCAGTAGTGTATTTATTAATAAAATCTAAGATTTTAAATGTTCTCATCACTGATTTAGATTATGTCTATATTTCCAAGAAAATGCCTGAATGAAATTCAAATAGCTCTTTAAATGGAAACATAAAAATCATAAGAAGGTTGAACATCTGCAATTATAATATTTTTAACAAAATTACAGATCTTAGAAATGAATTGTTTTGTACATCTTAATGCAATATTTTATTTCTAAAGCATGGCCAACAACAGCATATAAATATTAAGATTTTTCGAAAAAATTATCTTTTTTCATTTAAATTGACTTTCGGTTTTTAAATCAACTTTTTTTTTGTGTAAGTTTATACAGCTTAAGACTCAAATAATCAGAGTATTAGCTTCTAATTAAGTCCAAAATCTAATTAATACCAAATTAAATATATACTCAAGTCTTTCTGGATCATTGACAAGTAACATGTTTATAAAATAGGCTGTAAAGAAATAAAGGCAAAAAAATCACCTACAACAAACCTATAGAACAATATAAAAATACCCTTGGGACCCTACTCTAGTTTTTAGTTGGATATAAAATACTAATAACTGACATTTTCCTTTAGAGTCTTAAAAAAAAAATAGGAGAATTGAAATTTTTTCAAGTTGTTTTCACTATATGTTATGCATCAGATCAAAATTTAAGAATATACTTTTAATGTTGTCTTAGCAATGAGTAATGTTTCATTAACACTTACTCCTAGCAACTCTTTTGATGCAACTTTGAATTTCCAGCATTTTATTGCAATTATTGCTTAGCTTTTTTACCTAATAAAAAAACCACTGAAGGGTAGTAGGCAAGATGGTAAATAATGCAACTTAATAAATTAGTATCTCCACACTTTTCTTAGAAAATTTTTTATATATTATCCATTTTTAGTCCTTCAAAAAAAAACAATTTTGATCATTATCAGTTCCTTTTTTAAAAAACATCTGTTGCTTATAATAATAATTTAACTCAAAGATTTAAATCATCTAAATAAAATCATAAACATTATGCTGCAAATTCTATGACAAAAATTATATCAGAAAAGTAGTAGTAAATGACTTACCCTATGAACATAATTCATTTCTGCTAAATACTGCATTCCAGCTGCAATACCTCTCAACATTCCAACAAGTTGAATGACTTGAAACTTTCCATCATTGGCCTGTATAATGTAAATACATTGTACTTATTTGTAAAAGAAATGAAACATATATACATGAGAATTATTTTGAATATAAAAATTTAAATACTTCTTTCATTACATAAAAGATTTATTAGAACAATAAATTATACTTGCAAACATTTTCTACATAAGTGAAATATTTTCCTCAAAAAGTAAAAATTAGTTACAATATTATTTAAAAAAATAAATTAACCAGAATTACATGAGGTATTCAATTATATTAACTGCTTGTAACTGTGCCAAATATTTTAAAATTTATTTATCATGCTGTTTGCAGGGAATATTAGTGAAATTTATTCAACAATTCATTAACAGAAAGAATAGCAGAATAATGTGTTAAAATTCAATCCATTACAATGAAACTAATCTATTAATTCTGCAACCAAAAATGGACATTATCATTTACAAATCTGAATGTATCAATACACAAACTTAAAGAAACTATAATCTACATACACATAATTACCCTTTGTGATTATTAAAATCATTTTATTCCTACTTTACATTTAATATAGGTAAATATATTTTAGCAGCATTAACTTCATGCAAGTTACAATATTATATATACTCACTCTTAAAAATGTATCCAAGGATCCATTCTCCATAAATTCAGTAATGATCATAACAGGATTACTTTTTGTTACAACTCCTTGGAGATAAATAACGTTAGGATGATCAAATTGGCCCATAATACTCGCTTCTGTCAAGAAATCCATTCGTGCTTTGTCAGAAGAACTTGGTTTCAAGGTTTTGATGGCAACAGTAACTTCTGTTTGGCATGGAAGTTTCAAACGACCTTTGCAAACATCTCCAAATTCACCTATATAATTGTTTTTTTATGTGAATAATTATATAAGAAATATAGTTAGATATTACAGGAAAATGAAAACATTCATCACAATTTAGATTCAGAATTAGGATTATCTGACCTTATTTCTTCTCTGGGTCAGACATTTCAATGGAGATTAGAAAAAATAAAGAAAATGGTCATAAGTTTTGACTAAATGATTATTTTTTAAGTAAGCTTTCATACTCTAAGTGAAAAACTGAAATGACAATAACAGGTGTAATAACAACTGCAACATTTTATGTTATTATTATAAAACAAAAGGTAAATGCCATGACAGTTTTGCAAATGAAGTCAATAAGACAAGAAGTTTAGTATAGATTCCATTATAATGAAATAGATAATAACCATTATACACCAGTGCTTAAATAATTAAACATTAATTAAGTAAATTTTTTAGAGAATATAAAAATTACTTAAAAATACTATGTATGACATGCATTAAATTTATTAAACATATAAATTCCACGGTTTTATTTCCTACATAGCTGGCTTTTTAAGTTTTCAGCAAAACTGCATTTTAGTTATTTTAAAAATCTCCTCAAAATACTTCTGTTTCAAAATAGCTGTCATGAAGTACAGATTATAATTTTCATAGAGAAACATATTTTATTTATTAAAGAATAACTTAATGCAACCTTCTAGTGATGTTAATTTTAAAAAAAATGGCAGAGGAATATAAGCAGAGAAAAATATGGCCCTTCCTTGATAGGAACAATATTTACTTAATTCTCTTCTTAATTACTAATTAAAATTCTCTTTCAGACATCATTTGCATTGTATTTATTATACCAGATGTTTTTCCCGTTTAATGTAGCTTTTAATATGGAAAACTGGAAAGAGTCACGAAAAGCAAGACATAGATGAGTATGGGGACTAAGGGCTTCTGAAATACCTTTTTTTTTTTGGCCAAAATGTTTTCATACTTAATTGCATGACATGCAGTGTTGTTATGGTATATAGTCCAATTTCTTAAGGTCCTCTTTTCTGGCATTTTTCATGAACAACATTCCAAAAGTATAAGAGAACATTTTTGCAAAACATTTTACTTACAATTTGACCCAAAGAACATCAAAATAATCAGCAGCAAAATTTTCATGTGGAAACACACTTGCTCTTTAGTTATGGAGGCAAGCATGCCTTCCACTGTGATGATAATTAAGTTTATTTTAAGATTACAAGTTTCTTCTCATAGTTGCATCCAGACTCATGACATAGAATGAGGTTTAAAAATATGGGAACTTTGGCTACAATTTTCCAAAGTTTCGAGCAAATGGTCAAACAGCTGTGGCTCTGGTCTTCAAGAAACCAACGAACAAGTACTGATCATAATGAACAAGTACTGATCATACATGCTTTTCATTCCTAAATTTTCCTGCAAAATCTGGTGACATGAGCCAATTGAAATGATTGTTTCTGCAACAATTCCTTGGAAAGTCAATCAGACCAAACCAAAGTATTGATTCCAGCTACGTTTCTCTTGTTCTAACTGATGGAAGAGAGGCTGAGATGAAAAGGATCCTTCAAACACTCTCGATTCATTTTTAAAGTTTGAATAGTATCTGAAAATTATCATGCAGCATGCTGCATTCTATTTTCAACATGTTTAAGTGCCTACGATTGATTTCTTCAGCCAAAAACAAAAACTAACACAAGTTTGTTATTCCTTTAAAATATGTTATTTTACATTACAATAAGTCTCCTAATATGACTTGAATACTATTGCACCTTCAGCAACAGTAACTGAGTCTAACTAAGTAAAACTGCAGTGGTTTCATGCAGAAAGTGCTATTTGCTCAAGAAATATGCCAGTATACACTATCATTTCTAAGATTTGGGTTCTTTTAGTATGAATTATATGTTTTAACTCTGCTTTTTAAATACTAATAAATTAAAAAAAAATTTTTTTTCACTTTTCAGATGTGATGAGATAAAAGAACTCATGATTTTTTAAAGGAAAGACTTATATAAAATATAAGTTTATTATAAGTTCTTAAATAAAAAAAATCTATTTATCTGAAATAAAGCTAAAAATTAAGTTTCAGTACCTCCTCCTATAATTGATTCAATTGTAATGTGAGATGCATCAATTTCTTTAGTAAACTCTCGTACTGCTTGATTAGGGTCTTCATACGTATGTGGATCAATATAGGCTCTTGAAGCTCCACATTGTGTAAACAAGGGAGTGGTCACTGAAAGAAAAAAAATCTTCTATCAAAAATATATGTTAAAAAAATCCAGTTTTTATGTAAAATGTTTTACAAAGCTAAGATTATAGAAACAACTTGACTATGAAAAGGAATAAATTATTAAAAATTATAATCCTCAATGTTTTTCAAAACGCATAACAGTGTATTTGCCTTTTTTTTTTTCTGCAGTTATAATCAAGTAAAAAGTACATGCCACTATTTTATTCAATTTTTGCCACCAAATTTTAGACGCCAACAGAGAAATTTTATTCATGCAAGTGTTTTTCCAGCAAGAAATTTTTTTGAATTGTACAATAAAATTGTTCATCTGAAAATGCAAATAGAATTGCTTAAATAAATATCCTGTAAACAAAAAAGCAATTCTTATTTGCTGTTTATTATCAATTTTATTTAATTTAAACAAATAGGTAATAAATTTATAATGTAATCAATTCCTAAATGCCATATGCAAAGGGAAAAGGGTGATAAATAAATACATCATGGTGATATTTAAATCCATTAAATTATCAAAACATATGATCAAGAATCTAATAACTATTAGATACTGAAACTCTATTCTATAAAAATTCAAGATAAATATTTTTTGATTAAAACAAAAATATAAACAGATACATAAGAAAAGCAAGTTTTCTTTTTGTTTTGTTTTCGTTTTGCACGGTTACATTTAATAAAAGAATTTTTCTCTAAAACACAAAACTAATTTTCTAAAAAGATTTCCTTCACAATAATTAGGCAGTATGCGCTATGTTTATCAAAATTTAAATCCTCTCGTGTATGGGTTACTATTTTCATGAAAAATGATTAGTAAAAATGATATAAACTAATACATTAATTAATTTACAAATTGCATATTAGAATTATAGAAAAGAAATACACCGCCAAGACTACTGTTATAGTTTTCATCGCTTGTCAAAATAATTAATATCACAAAGAAGGTAAAAATGGTTTTAATATAAGTTGCTAATTTTTTTCTGCCAAATTTTGCATTCCCTTCCAAATGGAAACAACATGCAGATTCATTAAAAAATCAAGCATTATAAGTAATTTATATTGATAAAGGGGAGAAAATTAAAAAAAAATAATAAAAAAAAAAATCATTTCTCTGAACAAAGAAAAAAAGAGGGGGGGGCAATATTGCTTTCATTTAACTAAAATCTAGCAGAAAGGTTGTGAGTGAAAGAGGGCAAATTAATTGTAATTGAAACTTTTTGATATAACTGCCAATGAAAGGGCACCAGTGGCTCAATTTCACCAAAATTATAGATAGTCAATTTATGTCTAAGCCTAATGAGTCATATTTTTTCATTGCTTACTTAAAACTAACAGCAAAATATAAACAATATCTCTATAAATTATAATTCTTTCTTCAAATATTATTCAATATATCTATATCCTTAAGAAATATTTAAACCGTTTAAACTAGGTAAAAATTTAACACTTTTTTAAATCTGCTTCACAATCAATAGAATTACAGTCATTTTTTTTTCAATTCTATGCATTTAATAATTTTTAACATCCATAATTACCACCCAACAGGGAACATATGAAGTCAGAGGATATTAAGTATTACTGCGTTCTGATATTACATGAGAGACAGCAATTTCTTTTCAACACTGCAGGCCAAATTTACACCTATTCATGATTAGGGATACAATAGGTTTAGTGTAACAAAAAGTGTTTTCATTACTGGCACTACCCCCTGCTGTTGGAAAAGCAAGATATGTAATGCAATATTGATATATCACTATTTGCATAACAGGACAAGTGACATTTATAGATAGCGTCAGTCCTCATGGCAAAATGTAAACAATATCTCTAATACCTTCAAAATATTATTTCAATAAATATCATATATCCTTTAAGAATATTTAAACAAGTTATAAACTAGGTAAAACTTTTTAAGACACTTTTTTTAATCTGCTTCAATATATCAAGTAGTATTTATTACAGTTCATTTTTTTTTTCAATTCTATGCAATTTAATAAATTTTTAACATCCATAATTACACACACAGACAGGGAACATATGGAAAGCGCTGATATTATGAGAGACAGCAAAACAGCTACTTACACCATGCAGTGGGAACAATAGGTGGGTGAACAAGTGCTGGCACTACTGTTAGGGGAAAAGGCAGATATGTAAGTTGATAGTTCATACTACAAACAGAAAGAAATATATGCAGTCTGATGGGTAGCTTTAAAACATTCAAGCCCCATGAAACCACAAAAGAAAATTTAATCTCAGAAATGACTGACTCCTTTAGAATCACTTGCCTATAACATCCTGAACATTTATGAATTTTTGAAAAAAATAAACAAATAAATGAACAAAAACAAATAAAGCTTTAAATGGTTATGCATTAAAATTATGCTTATTCATTATGCAGCTGAAAAGTTATGCACATTTTTTTTTTCAGCACATATGACATTAATTGTTAAAAACTGCCTAATTTGAGGCAAGCAAGTTTTTAATAATTTTTAAGTTTTAATACTGAAAAAACTGATGAGCAGTAGTATGTTCTAGGCATGTGACTGAAGTCAGTATATTAAAGCAAAGAAACTATGCGCTCAGAACAAATGAGTCAACATGCAGACATGGTTATGACAAAACATACAAGAGGTAAATAAGCAAATCTAAGCCAGCCATCAACCTCCACCACATACTAAGCACAGCCCAAACAATCAAGCCCAACAAAACAAAACACACACATAATACAGAAAAAATTAGTACTGAAAATGTGTTAAATCATTGCAAATATAGAATTGCCTTTTTTTTTTAAATATATATACAGATGATAGGTTGATGGCAGCTATAATTCTCATTTAATATATGAAAAATTATCATCTCACACTATCTGAAAAAAAGTTAAATGAATTTGAATAATACCTAATAATGATAAATTAAGCAATTTTAACCCCTTAACTGCCGCGGGCGTATATATACGCCTTGTTCAGCCGATGCGTTAACTGCCCCAGATGTGCAGCCGATGCGTTAACTTTGCGAATAATTTTAGGTTTGTAGCAGCGCAAAGCAAATTGTTTGTACCGCCGCAGTTAACGATCGGCTGAGCAAGGCGTATATATACGCCCGCGGCAGTTAAGGGGTTAATTAAGAGAATAGCTTTACTGTAGATACAATGTTTTACTTAATTGTATGGGAAAATGTGGCAGAGTTAACTTAGAAATGTACTTTTAATTTCATTAATATATACATATAACTAAGTGATTAGACACAGCAATGTCATTTACAGCAGGTTTTATGAATTCAATTAGCTTTTATGATTCTTATTAATTGAACAATTTATCAAAAAATCAATATAAACTATGTAAATGACATAAAATACAAACATCTCAAAACTGCGAAACAGTAATGCTTTTCTAAATTAACTGATTTTTCTTGGAGTTTTTACATTAATAAAAATGAATACATTAAATTATCCAATTTTTTTCTGATAAAGCTAATTGTTTCCTGATACTACTTTACTTATTGATCTATAGTTTTTTAAATCTTAAAACCATTTTCTTAAAAATGAATATTTAAAAGCAAATTATTGTTCGTAAGAAGTTAATAATAAAATTGTAATCAAAACAAACAACTTCAAATAAATCCTGCAATATTGAAATATGATACAAAATAGAATATAAACGCCTATGCGGAATACTACTGAGATAACTACAATTGATGACAAAATATTTCACGTGCACTTTAAAACTGACCACATTTTCAAATGTAAATAAAATAATAAATTAAAAATGGAATTATATTAATATTAACAGCCTTGATATTTTCAAACCAGAAATGTTTGAAAATTTTCTTGAGCTGATAAATCTTCTAAAATCTAAATGTAATACCACTTTTCCTTAAAAAAATTCCTTTTATATTTGTCGATAAATACATTTTTGGAAAATTGTACGATATATTTTAGTAACCTTTTAGCAATATATATATTGTGATTTCAAATAAAAATACAACAGACATTATACGAAATAAGTGATATTTTAAAACAAAATATTGAAATAATACTTTACACTAATAGTTAATTATTCTTTGATAGAAGAATTTTCATTAATAGTTCAGCAACACTGGCTCATTCATTAGATAATATTCTGAATTTCACTATATGAATGCAATATAAAACTGTTTCATATGCATACATTATTGCACGTTTTCAGAATGATATAAAAGGATGCAGATGACAAAAACAGCAAAATCAATTGATAGATATTTTGAATGATATCAGTAGTATGTTCTAGGCAGCTTTTAAAAACATTAATCAATATATACAGGAATTTCAAGAAAAGTAATGTCAGCACATATTTGCCTAGTTCATCAATTCCATTTGCATGTCAACTATACTTGAGAAGCACAGCAAGTTAAAAATGTAGTATGAATATTTATTAAGCTATCCAGAAAATGCATTCAGATTTTCATTAAAATAAAATGCAGTATTCAATTAAAAAAAAGGATAATTTGATTTGATAACCATTTGTCATCTTCTATAGAATTTCATGATTCTTAAAAAGAAATTTTGGATTTTTTTCAGCAAAAAAACTTTTCCAAGTGAAATGGAACCCCTGTACTTATATTGTATATACCTAATACTTATATTGTCATGATAGAATACAATATTGTGATTTACCATTTCTTGCACTTGTGTTGCAAAGCATTTTTCAGTTTTGTTGGTTGTAGACAGCATGCATTTGGAATTAATCATTTCATTCTTTGGTAAAAATTCAAAATAAATAAATTTATTTACCATCCTACCAGTGATAACATGACCCATTTTGAGAATGTTTGAGCTGGCTTAACAGGCTCGAATCACAATCCTTCACATTCAGTATTACTGTAAATATTCTATTTTTCATTAGCAGTTATAAATGATTCAAAAAATCGTTCATTTTGTCTACATTTCAAACGCAAATCACTGGTTTTTCACAGATAACTGATTCTCAGCAAGTTCACTTCCAGTTATGTGATGATCCATTTTAATCAGTACTTTACCATCATTTGCAATTGATCTAACAGAACATTACGAAACCTGAACTGAAAAAATCCCCTAAATGAAATTTTGTAAAATAATTCTGGCATATGTTTTTTGTTGGTGCATCATTACCATTCCCAGAAAAAAATCCATTACCATTCCCAGAAAAAAATCACTTTAGTGCATTAAAAGTGCTCATGGCCTGCAATGGAAAAAATGAAAGTATTTTTCAGACAACCCATAAATACCTTTATTTCGATTCTGCTTTGAAAATGTGAAAACTTAGTGTTTTTCTTTTATGGTGATTAGGCCAGTACATATTTATTTTTTTTATTCAGAGTTTAAATATAACTTGTTTTATTTCTGTATAATTCAACAACAGCAGATTACAAAGAATTTATATTACCATTTTTCATTCCCCAAAACCACTGCTGCCGAATACGTTTTTTAATACTAGTGTATGATACTCTTGTTTTATTTTTTCTTTAAAATCATACTCTAAAATTAATTTTTTGAAAAGAAACACAGTTTAAAAAATAAAGAAAAATAATAATAATAAAAAAAATCCTTACATTTCTTACCTTCCCCATTACGGTATTCTAATGTATCACAATCACTTGGTTGTTTTTTATTGCATTCATCAGAGCTTCTAAAACAAAAATACATGGAACTGAGAACATTACAAAGATACAAAAATATAACAAAGGGAATATAAAATCAAAGCTGTAATCCTAAATTTACAGTGCAGAGATTTAAAACATCTTTACATTATATTTATTCATGTGCTATATTAACAGAAATGTAGTCAAGAAAAACATTTACTAGAAAAATAAGGAACAAAGTTCAAAGCGATTATTAACTTCAGTTTTTAAAACAAAATAAAACAACATAAAAATATGAAGAACATAAACCTGCCATGTCGTTAAAAAAATCTCCCAATTTACAATTTGTTTTGAAGATCGACTAAAGGTAAAAGCACATAATTCTAATGCAGTTAATAAGAAAAAAATCTGCTGCCCAACCGGAATAGCTGCCAACCATCATCACAATTATGAATTTAAAGATATAACCAACAGCATATGATGAAACAATAAATTAATGCCTTGAACAGTGATTGTAAGTTGATTCTGTAACATATGGTATGATTTCATGCACAATTACTGTAGAGACATAAATGCAAGACAGCCCCGCAATAAGATGACATTGCATTCTTGAAAAATTTTACCCAAAAGCCTGGTCATACTGTAATTTCACATGTATGGGCTTAACAGATACATGTTTAATAAAAATATCTACTTGAAGTAAAAATCTATAAATAACCTAAAAATATATCTTGCAGTAGAGGTAAGAACTTTAACTTTTTTGAAGAAACTATTATAAACATTTCTGCCAGAGCTGATGCTATCAACACAGCCTTACTAGGCAGCAAAAGTTTATAAGCACTGGGTAGCAGCAGAATTTAGGAATGACACAGATTTTTCTAAGTGCCAAAATACTTAGCACATGCCATAATTATGGGATATGGGGGATATGTAAGTATGTAATGTGTGTTTTTAATTTTAGACTGTGTAAATTCAGACATATAATGACTTTTAAAGTTGGTGTCAAAGGAAGAAAAATCAACATTCAATCTAATAGTAATGACAATATTGATTCTTACAATAGAATAACATTTCACACACACACCACAATAACAAAAAAAAAAACAATTATCATTTCAAATGCATACAGCTTGACTACTTCTCTTATTTCAGCTGTAATGGAATTTTAATTTAATGGATTTGCTGTTTTCGCTGAATAATTTACATGAGATCATTCTACTAAATTCTGACAAGTGTACACTTTCAGATTTTATAATGCACAAAATTAATTTTAGTACTTTTAGGATCGCTCACAATAAGGCACAATAAGGCTTACTAGGCAGCAAAAGTTTATAAGCACTGGGTAGCAGCAGAATTTAGGAATGACACAGATTTTTCTAAGTGCCAAAATACTTAGCACATGCCATAATTATGGGATAAGTATTGTAATGTGTGTTTTTAATTTTAGACTGTGTAAATTCAGACATATAATGACTTTTAAAAGTTGGTGTCAAAGGAAGAAAAATCAACATTCAATCTAATAGTAATGACAATATTGATTTCTTACAATAGAATAACATTTCACACACACACCACAATAAAAACAAAAAAAAACAATTATCATTTCAAATGCATACAGCTTGACTACTTCTCTTATTTCAGCTGTAATGGAATTTTAATTTAATGGATTTGCTGTTTTCGCTGAATAATTTACATGAGATCATTCTACTAAATTCTGACAAGTGTACACTTTCAGATTTTATAATGCACAAAATTAATTTTAGTACTTTTAGGATCGCTCACAATAAGGCACAATAAGGCTTACTAGGCAGCAAAAGTTTATAAGCACTGGGTAGCAGCAGAATTTAGGAATGACACAGATTTTTCTAAGTGCCAAAATACTTAGCACATGCCATAATTATGGGATAAGTATTGTAATGTGTTTTAGTATTAAGTATTGTAATGATCATTCTACTAAATTCTGACAAGTGTACACTTTCAGATTTTATAATGCACAAAATTAATTTTAGTACTTTTAGGATCGCTCACAATAAGGAAAGGAATTCCTTCACAAATGAATTTTTCTACAGAAAACTGGACCACCTGTATTGTACCAAAATTTGTCTTACATATTGACTTATGACATTATTACATCCTTTATGATGTGGTATGATATAAAAACAAATTAGTTAAAACTATTTCTCCTTACATTTTATGAAATTCCCAAATATTAAATATCAGTTAGACTTTCATATCATCATCTATAATGTATGTGCATATGTATATTACATGTAATATTTTTCAAAGAAAAATACTTCACATGAAAAACATTACTTACAATATGATGTCTACAACATTCTTCCTTTCTAATATATATATATACTATACATATACACACACACTGAAAATGTACGACAGAAAAACTGAATTGCCTTTATTGATTCAGCTGAAAAATTGTCTCTCTAATTATTGATATAAAAATTAAACTTTTAAATTACCTGACTTAGAACAGAGCCATTTAAATATATATGTATAAAATATAATAAAAGCAAGCTAGCCCAAATCTTTATATTATAACGTTATCTGAATGGTATGCATATGGATAAAAGGGAAAATACACTAAACACATTATAACTATGTCCCCTTATATGGTTAACCTCATTTTTGAACATGACTTTAAACTTAACTGCATTCTGTACTGCTTGCTATCTATCACTAGAAAAATGAAAATCAAATCAAAACCACTTGAAAAACATACATATATGTATAAAACGAGAAAATTATGCTAATATCTAATGAAAAACTGAACACAATGAAATATCCTGACCTTCTAAATCTTTCATTAATTTTTTAGCTTTTAGTATTTTCATTTGTCTACTACTGTTAACTAATAATTAAAAAAATACATAAATTTTTCAGCCAGTTCATACACTAATGTTGAAACATTAATAAAACTTTTCAAAAATAGAACTACATTAATATGTTTATTACATTTTTCTCCACAAAAATAAATTGTTAAAATTTTTACACAGAGAAAAGACTATTGAAATTTAGATTTACCACAAATTATGAGTAATCTTATATTTTAAAAAATATGCTATGCAACTCACTTTCGTATGTATACGACTATTATCACAATTACAACAACAACTAGAACAAGAACAGTTACAGCAACTCCAACAATCATTGGCACTTGAACTTGGTCATCAGTGACAAGCTCTATAAAAGATAATAGGAAATAGTTAAAAAATTAATTTATAAAGCTAATATGAACATAAACATTTTTAAACAGTTTCACATAACTATAAAAGCATTAAACCATTTGAAAATTGTGAGCGAACATAAAACAAACCCTAAGAGAGAGAATTTATTTACAAAGATAAGTTCTGAGGTCTTGAATATGAGAAAGACATACTACAATAATTTTTAGTCAAATCAAATGATGAAGAAAGCATTGTTGATTCGCATATGGATTTCATATAAAATATGTGGATGACATAACATAAAAAAAAATGACAGTGTTTTATAATTTTACTTCAAAAATAACTCAAACTTGCCAAAAATCTATCAGGTGTATCAAAGAATTTGAGTGGATTAAAGTAAGTTTCATCACCATAATTTTATAAAATAAAATAAAATTACTTCAATTTCTAAATACATTTTCTCTTAAACTAATGTCTTGAATATACGTTTGCTTTATTATTAATTAGAAAAATAATGTGATTCAATTTGTATCTCTATATATGCATCACTTTTCTTTAGATTCCAGGTCAACACTTGATTTAATACTAAACATTTAAACAAACATATATAACAAATTGACAATTAATTACACAAAACTCACAATTGTGTGCCGTATGCAATTCAAATTCTTAAGCTTGTAAAATATTTATATTTCTACAATTATTATTAATATTAGAATACATAAATTCAAAATTTGTAATTGTTGTAAATACAGTCAAAAGTCGTTAATTCGGACACCCATAATCCGGAATGATCTATAATCCGGACCTCAAAGCTAAAAACTTTCTGCGCATGCGCCGCGTTGACGCATGCGCATAGGCGTTTAAGCGTGTGCATAAGACCTTTATGACTGCTCATTTGCACGTGCACAAGCGCAGAATACGTTTTCGCTGCGCGTTTAATGTATAACGGACGGTATAAGCTAAAATTATCTAATTGTCTATTTCAGTTAATGTTGATGATTGCGTTGTTCCTTAATCTTCGAATTGGATCCGGCTTATTATTTTTTGCAGACTGTAAGAGCAATTTTATAAAAGTAAGCTTGAACTTTCGATTATGTCAAATAGAATTTCCGATGCTGGAGCTCCCAAAGGATCTACGAAAACGAAAGTATGTTTCGATGTCCATCAAACAAAAAGTGGAATTGCTCCAAGAAATCGATAAAGGCATATCCTTTGTTTATCTAATCATTCCGAAATCTGTTTATCAATTTCACGCTGCTCTGGGGGGGGGGATGTGGCGGTGCGCAATGAACTGGAAGTTGAACTATCAACACTATCGTTATCTTCAGGGCAGATGTTTTATTTTATTCGGCTTATAATTCCTTAATAAATGTAGTATTTTATCTCGATGTACTTCGTCTTTGATATGATTTAAATCAAATTCCTCGTCATTATAAATATCACGAATACAAATCAAATAGTTTTTTGGTTGTTGCAATTTTCTAATTTCGGACTATGCATAATGTATGCTTTACGCATGCGCGCGTTGAAAGAAATGTTTAATAAAGTAAACAAATAAATATTAAGCTTTTTTTTTTGTAAATTTTGATACCCTTTAGATCATAATTGCTCATTATTTTATAAATTACGGTTTCATATTTTTAATTTTATAATTTCTGCATGCCATCTTACCAGATTTAAACTGATGATCTATAATCCGGAAAAATCGATAATCCGGAATCACCAAAGTTCCGACGAGTCCGGATTAAAGACTTTTGACTGTAATAATTTGTAATAAAAAATTCAGATTTAATAATTTGTTGCTTATTTACTCAGCCTCCCCCCAAAAAAGTCACATGTAAAACCCATTTTCTTAAACAGCTATTTTCAATATATTATAACAGTATAAAAAAACCTTGAAATTTTTACCTCGAGTTGCTAGTTTTGCTCCTGTCATCTTGTATATTACTTTACTATAATCTCCCCAGCCATGCGTGGTTTTCGCACGAACCTGGAAGATGAATCAAAATTGCTCATATTTTATTTCTTATCATTACAACTGCAGCAATAGAGGTAGTAAGACAATTAATAGCAAAGCTAATAAAATGTTTAAAATTAGAACAAAGCAGAAACCTTAGTTTGTTCAGATTTTGAAGGTGATCAGACACAGGATCTTCTTCAAGAACAAAACACCAATGCTGCTTTTTTTGCTGACTTTTAAATTTTACAGTAATGTGTTTCTCATTCAATTAAAACATTATTTACAACTTGACCACAATGTGCACAATTACTTTAACACTAGCACAGCGGGAAAATCTTACCTACTGGAACGGTGGTAAGGGGTCATTTTAACCTTTCGATGAAAGTACTGAAATAACAACGGTAAAACAATTTTAAATCCCACACACTGGCACAAATATGTACTTATTTGTATTTCATAATTTATATGTCATATCACATGATAATTTATTGACTTTTTAAAATATTGTAATTGCTCGAGTACATGGCGATCAATTGAATCATACTACAATTACTCAATAACTCATTAATATGATATAAGAATTGATTTCAAATAAATGGTTTCACAAATTAACACTAATGTTAAACTAAAATAAAACACAATTTATATAGTTATATTTTTTTATGTACTTACTTACTCGGAAGATGATTCACTCTCTAAATCCAGAAATGAGAAATGTTCTCTGATGTTTCAATTATATCATTATATGTGTAGCTGAATGGAATATGTAAAGCATTTCCTTTCAATTCTATTTAACCTCTTCGCGCCGACTGTCACGTATACGTGCCAGCAACGAACACACTTATCTACTGGCCGACACGCAGGCATGCCAGAGCATTGTTGCGTTTTCTACCGACTGTCACGTATTTGTGCCAGTACCTTGGAACGTTTTTCAAACTATAATTTCTGCCACAAGATGGCACTGTATGTCCATATGGTTTCAGATACATGTACATTAGACCTTCTACTCGAAATGAGAGAAGCATGACTCACATACACATGTTTTTGATTATATAAACAAACGGGGAACTAAATGTTTCCGAATGGCGTGATTTATGACGTCTCTTTAAATCGCACTTGTGGTAGTTGTTTATTGTAAGTAGAAGTTTTATATGCGTTCACATTCCCGGAAAAATCCTCCAAAACGGCAAATGAGTTATTACGAGTTCAAGGAATGTAATGTAGAACTGTGTGTAGATCCCCGTTTTAAAATTTTTTCATACGAAAAGAGAATTTTAAGTAATATATTTAGTTTTCAGATGTATAATGTTTAAAAGTCATAAAAATTGAGTAATAAAATAAAATGTGTTAAAATATGCATTTAAACAAGAAATAAGGTAATTAAAGTATATATATAAATATATCTATAAAGCAAAAGCCGTTTAAATACTCTATAGAGCATTATTAAACAATGCGTTGATACTTCGGAAATTTCATGGATTTAGGCTTAGTAGCAAAAAAAGCCCCCGGCCCTGGAGAGACGCTCGCGGAAGACACTGTCGGCCTCCGCGATAAGCGCGCGTTTTTTGCTACCCGGCTCGAAGGGGTTAATGTGTAAAATATTAGAGATTACACATACGTATTAAGAATTAATGTAGTTGATACAAAAATAATTTTTAACAATTTTTCCAGTGCATTTTCCGCATACAACTTTGGAACACGATGCACAATATTCTTGAGATTTGTTTCCATTGCATCTCTGTACTTGACACTTTTTTCTCTTTATATCCATTTTCATTTCATCTGATTTTTTTTTGGGGGGGAGGGGGAAGACTCAAGAAGGATTTTTTGGAGTTTTGAAGTTATGTACCACTCTTAACTCCTCTCCTAATTTCAGTAGTAAATCTCTTCTGTTAACAGTGTTTCCTGTTATACTTTTATAAATTATCCAGGCATTCAAAGCTGTGTGATCCAAAATATTAAAAAAGATATGTACAGGCCATCGTCTAGTAGCCGATTTAACTGAATATATTTGGCACATCTGATCACGAATATCCACACTATACTTTATTGCGTTGTAAAATGCTATTGAATCGGGCAGCTTCTTGAGACTGTCTTCAGTTTTTACAGTAGAATGTAATGAGCTCAGTAGAAAAAGGCTTTTGTTTCTTTTGCCTTGATAGATAAGTGTGATATTATCATGTTCCACTATTGTCGATGAATAATGATTACTACGCACGGTTTTCAAAGATATAGGAATTTCTCTTCTGTTCTTTTTTACTGTGCCGGCCATAGTTGTATTTTTTGATTTTAGCATTTCTGCTAATTTAATGCTAGTAAAATAGTTATCCATGGTAATAGTTCTCTCTTTGTTTAGATGTGGCTCCATTAATTTTATGACAATATTTTCAGACAAACGTAATTGAGGATTTGCTGTTTCATCTTTTCCTAGATAAGGAAATCCATTCAAGATGTATTTAGTATTAATGTCTACAGATAACCAAAATTTTATTCCAAATTTTTCAGGTTTATTAGGCATATATTGTGTAAATCTACAACTAGCTTTAGATGGGAACAATTGTTCATCAACTATAATATTTTGTCCTGGCTGGTAGCACATTTTGCAGTTTTCAATAAATTTGTTCCACATCTCTGATGCAAATCAAATTTATCAGTCTGTAATCGAGTAGATCTTTTTGTCTTTTCATCGAACCTTAAGAATCGTTTTATTTCTTTGAATCTATCTCTTGATATAGTTTCTTTGCAAAATGGTATTCCCCCACACTTCGGACCACAAAGAATATAAACCTGAGCCATTTGCTCCTATTACTCCTCGAACATACATTATAGTGACAAAAACATCTAACTCAGCCAGAGATAACTTCCAGTTTTTATTTCCAAGTTGCCAATGCGCTTTGGATTCTGTATATCTCTTTATATGCAGCAAGATATCATCATCAATAAAAAGCTTGAAAGCACTAGACACTTTGCCCTCAGAAACATGACTCTTTGCAAAAGATGTTGGTCCTGCTGGTTTCTTTTAGAACATTATGAGCAGGAACACGGCCCCAGACTTAATTTTTGGAATTGATTTCATTCCATATAGTGTTATCAGGCGCTGTAAACAGTTTTGCAAATACCCTAATCCGTTTTTGCCAATTTATTTCTGCTGAGTTCTTTTTTGTTTACTTCGCTGTCCTGGGATTCACTAAAAGTTTGTGTCTGGAATTCATCTTCAGTTTCTACAGAAAAAATTATCAATTTCACCTCCGTCGACTCATTTTCAGATAGCCCCTGCAACAATTTTTTAATTTCTTCATCCGTAAGTCCTCTTTTCCACTTATTAGACATATTTTGTAAAAGTTTAAAAAAGAAGAAAAATATCAGACCATCAGAAAACGATACGAATATATTTTACCATATGATTCTCACAGTATAAAGGAAAGGTGATAATGAACTGACCCCAGATTTCATATATACTGAAGTACTAATTTGGGATTACCAAGAAAACATCTGTCCTACCTATATTCACCTGCAGTAAGTAAGCTGAACTAACAAATGGGAAAATACATCTGTAAAATAAACTATTTCTGAAAAGAAATGTAAGCATAAAATACCCTGCAGCTACCTTCCTTGCAGTATTTTCTTCAAACGAATAGATAATTGCAAACAAAGGAACAACAACTTTTGTAGACATTACAAAGTAGTGTGACCACTCAGGTTTTATCCCTCTGGGAGATAGTATGAATGCAATCGAAAAATCCTTATCAGTGAATTTTTTTCATGGGTTTATTTGACAATGCCTCGAGAAGAAAGAGGGATAAAAGTAAAAAGTCAAAATTACCCCCATTTGCCGTTCTAGGAATGCATGCCAATATTTCAAAAACTAACAAACCTAGAATGCTGAAATTTTTTTTTGCAAATATTTGTTATCTATTTAGGAAAAGTCAAAAAATTCCAAATGATTTCTCCCAATAAAACAAAAGTAATCAATGATCAAAAGTGTTCAGGCCATTCTAGTGTTAAATAATACATTACTAGCATAACAATAAAATATTCCATTACATAATTAACTGAGCATATTTTAAAATCTTTTACAGGTATAAAATTATAATTTTAAGTGAAATCAAAACGTTTTTAAAAGAATTTTCCTATGAAAGGTTTGTAGTTTGTTTTCTTATGTATGCATGCTTTTACAAAGTGGTATTATAAAATTACAGTTTCAGTCTCACTTCTTAGAAAGTAAATTTCAAAGGACTTAATTTTACCTGAAACCCACCAAAGCTGGGATCCAGTACTTTTAATTTTTACAGTGAAATTGTAATTTACCTGATGGCCTTTTACAGAGCTCCACACTTCTAATTTTAGAAATTAAGGTATGAAGTTCCCTATATGGGCAGCTTCTTGAATGAATGCACACAAAATACTGTTTAAATTGCTAGTTTTAATTAGATTCACAATTTGCCAAACAATTTTGTTGCTTATATGGTAATGGCAAAGCATGCAAAAGCTATCTAAGGTAGAGATGCTTTAAAATTTTTTGAGGTAAAGTGGTTTATATTTACATTACATACAAAGGAAACCTTGAAATTACTCGGGTGTTCAACTGTCAGGATAAAATCAGATAGTCTTAAAATTTTAAGCAGCTGGATACAGCTAACCCTAATTCATATAATATCACAGTGAACAAGTAGCTTACATTCAACTAAAACTAGAAATTTCTAAACACAGAATTATATGTGCTCAATTAAAGCATCTATTAAATAAAGGAATCTTGAGTTCAATTCTATTAAGAGCATATGATATAATGTTTACTTCAACAAAATGTTGAAGTAAACATTTTAATTGGAATATTAGAAATGAGATGAACCTCAGGTATTTCGATTCTCTGATTAATTTGACATTCTTTTCAGAAATAATTTGACATATATTCTATATTTCAAACTAAGACATTTGCAAAATACAATAAAATTTATAAAACCAAGCTACCGAATAATATTTATGGATATCTAACATTTTATAGGTATTATTAGCAATGCAATGCTAATTAAAATTTTTTAAAGCAAATACACACTATTTATCAAAAATATGTTATACGTCAAACATCACATCATAAAAATGAAAATGATCACATACGAGGGCCATCCAGGAAGTAGATTACGTTTCCGTCTGTGTCCGCTAGGGGCGGGGCTAGCGCGGCCATCTTGGGGTCAGAGCGTTGCGCAGCTCAGTCTGCATCTAGCCGTGCTAGTGAGAGGTTCGTGCTGTGCTCCGTTCAGATACTGTGACGGTTTGAAATGTCTGCGTTAATTGAAAATCCCGCGAGCTGCGAGGTGCGCTCAGTAATAAGGTTTCTGACTGCAAAAAACTGTAAACCGATAGAAATCTATCGGCAGCTTCGTGAAGTGTATGGGGACAACATTATCACTGAAGGTGGAGTGCGTCAATGGGTCATAAGATTTCAAAATGGCCGAACCAATGTTCACGACGAAGATCAAAGTGGGAGACCCAGCATAGTGACCGCCGAACTTCTCGAAAAAGTCGATGCTAAAGTCCGTGAAAATCGAAATTTCACAATAACGGAACTTTCTTTGAGTTTTCCACAAATTTCGCGAAGTTTGTTGCACGAAATCATCAGCGAAAAGCTTGGTTACCACAAGTTTTGTGCAAGATGGAAGGCAAGAAGAGGTAACGAAGTGGTTGAAGGCACAGGCGGCCGAATTTTTTCGACGAAGGAATTTCCAAGCTCGTACATCGCTACGATAAATGCCTTAATTTGTATGGTGACTATGTAGAAAAGTAGTATTTGAGTGTGGCTTTCATCTGTATATAATAAATTTGTTTCCTATACTTTGTTTATTTTTTTATTCCAAAACGTAATCTACTTTCTGGATAGCCCTCGTACATTTTCTTGCATAGTCTCTTAGGTGTTTTTCAATTATTGTTTGTGCCAAAAATTTTCAACATTCAGATGTCAGATTATTATTGCCACAAACAGTCTTATAATTGCAAGTCAACCATATAAGATAGGCAGATAATGTCATGTTAGCATTTATTAAAGACATATTTCCCTGATGTAGTTATTTTAGTAATTCCAATTAAACTTCTCACTTTTGCTTTGCTCCTTGTTTCTTGTTTTAGTTTTTAGAAACACTTTTTTAAAAGACAAAATCTACAAAGGCTACCTGCTTCTGAAGTTATTCTTTATAGTAACCTTCCCCCCCCATAATAGTACATATTAAACACAGGTAAAATCCAAAAATCTCAAGCAGCCAATTTCTGGCACGGTAATTAATAGCATATAAGTAACCAAGTAGATGTGTAATCTCATAAAAAAATCACAACTTATAAGAGCTATGCTTAATTATTACTGTCCCATAAAAAGGTACAAAAATGAAAATAAACTATTTGCAGTGAAAAGGGTCTGCTCTGCAAAAATTTCATTATTTTGATATGAAAGTCATTACCTGGAATCCATAAAGAGTTTCTTCCTTCAAATTTCGAATTACAGCTTCTAATTTTGTGGTTGTCAGAGTGGACCCATTTCTTTCATGACCCTTTGGAAAGTACCTCAACTCATAATTCTCGGTGTCAGAAAATGGATCATCTGGAGCATCCCATTCTAGTAACATTTCGGAACTTTTGAGAGGTTTTATTCGCACATTTGAAACAACAGAAGGAACTAAAATATAGAAATTAGATATCATGAGAAATGAAATTGTTGAAAGATATAATACTGCACATTTTTACTCATGCTCTCAGAATTTAAATGATATTGGAGATTAGTTTGCACCAATAATTAATCATTTATTTGTAATTCAATTTCATTTAAAATTTAATTAATTTTAAATTTGCTTTTTACAAATAGAGAATGTTTGCTAAATTTAAAATTTACATTATGCATCTAATTCATAAACACTATTTCTTATAAACTAGACTCTAAATCCCCTTTAGATCTACCCTCTTGAATATGTACATTCACAACACAAAGTGGCAATAAAAAATAAATAATAATTTCAAAAAAATAATGTAAGCACTTCCTGGGGGGGGGAGTGCTTATATTAATGCAAAAAGATCATGTTTCAAGTACACTCACTAAGTTTTAGGAACTGCCTGTGTTATTACTTTTTCTGAAAAATGCTGTCTATTTAGCTGTCACTACAAAATTTAGACCAGTCAGAAACATGACTACAAATTACTGTTACAAGACTTTCGAAAACAACATCAACAAATTTATAGTTAAAGCAAGCTATCAACTGAATTTACCCATAGATACCTTCTTAAAATGGAAAGCTAAAATTCTTCAACGCATATCCACCGAAATCAGTCACCTCAAGTTTAAAAGTACACTGAATTGGTCGCAACTTACATCAGATATTAAAAAATTAAAACAGCTTTTTACTATTACAAAAATAGATAAAGCAACTAATAACTTTAGCATTATATGAAAACAATTCTACGCAGAAATTATTCATAAAGAACTTCTCAACGCAACTACTTATCAATTAGCCAACCTTACAGAAACATCTATAATAAACAGGTTTAAAACTTTTCATAAGAAACTCAATATTACTTTCAATGCAAACTACAACAGATTTACTAATCTTTATGCGATTCCCAAATTCCATAAAACACAATTAAAATTCAGATTTATTGCTAATGGAACTAATAAATTAACAAGAAAAATGTAGACTATTATTTTTCAATTCAACTTAATAAAATCTGTAAATTTATTTTCAATGATTGTAACACTAATCATAACAATCCTGGATCATTCATAATAACACTCCTGTCATTAATACCATTCAAACCATTAACATCCAAAACATTAATTGCTATGACTTTGAAAACTTATATACCTCACTTCCTCTAGAAGAAATCTATACCAGTCTACTTGATCTACCTAAACTCTTCCCTGATATGCTCAATATCATGACTCTTGACAAATGGAAAACCTACCTAAAATGCACACTTTTTCATAACTACATCAAGTTTCAAAATCAACTTTTTAAACAAGTCAGAGGATTGCCAATGGGCTTACATTCCAGCACCTCGATCTGTAATATCTTTTTATTTGTCAAAGAATTTAACTTCCAAAAAAATCTACAACCACAAGAGTTAAATTACTACAAACACACCTACAGATATATTGATGACCTTATTACAATTAATAATTTTGGATAAAATTGAACACTCCGAGATTTATCCGAATTGTCTTACACTTAATAAAACTAAAAATTCACAAAATAGCATAGACTTTCTAGATCTTCAAATCATTAACTACAAAAAAATTTTACTTTTTGACAAAACAAGAAACTTCAATTTTTTACTAACAAATTAATAAATTGGAACTCCTACATATCCAAAAAAGTAATTAACAAATACAACGAATTAAAATTATATGCACAGATACAATAGATTTACAACACGAAATTTTGCTCCTTATTAAAACTCTCAAAAATAATCTAATTCCCATTCAATTTATCAACCATTACCTTAAAAGAGCAGGCGTTAAATACTCACTCTAAATCATTTAACTGATAGGAATATAATAATTTGTTCCTAAACCTGAGAAGGCGGTATAAGTTGGATGACTGTCAGTTGAAGGATTTGTATATAGTGTAATTACTCAATTGTATATTGTAAAAAGCTAATTGTCTTCAGACTTATACTGTTACTAAAAAAAATGGGCCTATTTCATGACTTTAGTCTGTCTAATAGCTCTTGGACAGTGAAAAATTCCTTTTTCCTTTCTTAAATTCTTAATCATTGCGACACGACAATTAGCCAGAAATTAATTAATTTCCATTCACTAGTATTTTCAAAAAAATCTTAACAGACAGTCTCACTCAAATAAGAACTCCACATAATACATCCCTCAAGAATTCCGAGTCCCACCCACTACCATAAATTACTTCACCCAAGTCTTACCGACTGATATTATTCAAAGCCCCCACTGCCGCTAAGAATTTTCGGACACCCAACACTTATGAGTCAGACACGAAGAGAACACTTTGCCAACTCCCCCACTAGAAAGAATGTAAGTTACTTAATACCTTTTCTGGCCTTTATATCTTCATGTACATTCACTGTTCTTTATTATATATTATTTTTTATATTATTTTATATATTGTCTTTGATTTGTTTTTTACAAACTTTGCATTATTTATCTTATTTTGTAATCTTCTATGTTTATTTCAACTTTACTTTGAATTCGATTTCATAATGACAATTTCCAATGTTTAATTTTACAAATAATATAGAACTCAAATGCATAAACATGAAAGTGTCGGGGACGGTTACTCGGGTTATATAGGATTTCTCTACAGTAATTGCTTTTTACTCCAAATTGAATTGACTAAAAATGCTTCATAAGAATAAGTTCTTTGAGTATAAGCATTGGATCATAATTCCTTCTATTCGCGGAAATATTTGGCCTGACTAGAATTGCCGGTTTGGCTTTAACTTATAACTCGAGTAAAGACGAAACACCTTTCGTATTTACGTATTTTTATCATTATTGTTCGTTGAACGGGAGTTGGTTTGTTCCCCTTGAAAAGTCAATTAATTTCCGATCAATGACAATGATTACATGTTTTAATTTTTCCTTTTGAAATTTTATTCTTCATGATGATTTAACTTCAGTCCCCATTAAAACATTATTAACATTTGATTTCTTTTAATAATTCTACTTTAATTTAACTTAGGAGATAATAATCAATTAATCAATACTGTTTAGGAAATAAAATATTTATTATATCTAATAAAGATTATAATCATCTCGTTTATTTATATTATTATGTATACTTTATACAAACAAAAATCAAAGTAAAATTTTTAAAACAAAATTAGATACATATAACTTTTTTTCAAATGGCTTATAAATAAAGATATAAAAACATGTAACTTTTTTAAAAGGCTTATAAATAAAGATATAAAAACATTTTTATTTTCAAAAGGCTTAAAAAAATAAAGATATAAAAATACCTGATGCTTCAGTGGTGATGGTAATTTCAGCAAACATACTCTTGGTGAAGCTTGATACCCCATTTTCAGCATAGACTTTAAAATTATAAGATGTTACAGGACTGAGACCTGTTACAGTCACCTTAGTGTCACTGAAACCTTGCTGAGATGGAATGTATGCAACAGTACTTCCACACTTATCACATACAACTCGGTAAAATGTATCATTACGACCTCCCAAGAACTTTGGTGGCAGCCAGGAAAGGAGCACGGAAGACTGATCCACAAAAGTTTCAGATAAATTCAGAGGCTGGGAAGGTGGTTCTGCAACAAAAAAATAACGTTACAACTGACAATTTAAAGTAAAACAACTGAATAAAATATAATTGTGAGAAAGAAGTTTAAGAGACTAAGAAAAATATGACAAAATTACAATTTTAAATTAAAATTACGATTTTTTAACTTAATTTCATCCTATCTGCAAGACATTTTTAGCATATTTTTCTAGTATATGTACTTAAACAGAGTTTAATGAAGTTGCACTGTGTATAGCATACATACAAGACACGCAGCACAATACTGAATACAAATATTAAAAATAAAAGATAAAAGTTTTCAGTAATAATGATAAGAAGACAATGAATAATGATGTAATCTGTAGAAGACTGTGAAAAAAGTTATCTTTATAATGCTCTAAAATTAATATTTGTTTGCTAATTTGTAACTGTATTGCAGAGGTGAAACAGAGGAATGAAAATCAAATTTGCATTTTTTGTATAATGGAAATTTACAATGCTAATGATTATAAAATATCATCTTTCATTATAACTGAAACTACAGGTATCCCTCCTATAACACAATAAATAGGTTCCTAGAAAACACTGTATTGTGTGAAACTACATTATACGAGACTAACAACCAATACAAAATAGAGGGATGAATTCTGAAACTTTTTAAAGAGAAATTTTTCAATTTATTAATTTTTATTAAAAATATAAACATGTGTAAAACAGAAAACATAAGTAAATAAAAAATTTCTATTCTCATTTAATTCAAGCTCATTTTATTAAATTTCTTTTTTATCACTGTTCAGCACAATGAGGCAAGAGTAGCTCTAAGAGTAGAGATATCGTCACTTTCTAAATCAATTTCTTCATTACAATTTTCTGCATCATCTGCACTCTTTAAAAATCTATTATTAAACTTGTCTGCTAGCTGGCCCTTTCAAGTTTGTAGAAAATCTTGTTGGTTGAGATAGATAAACTTCGAGCTCCCTTTTGAATTTTCAGCTTATTCTGGCACAAGGGTCTTCAGTCAAGAAAAATTCACCAAGGTAAGTCTTTCCTGCAACATTTTTAGAGTAAAAATTAAGAACTTCACAGTTTTCATCAGAGCAGTTGTCTTCAGAATTGATTTGATTATCCAGCTCCCTTTCGAAATTTTGGCTTAGTCTGGCACAGGTCTTCAGTCAAGAAAAATAATTCAAGATCTTTCACCAAGGTAAATCCTTCCTCTAACCTTTTAAACATTAATAATTAAATTAAGAACTTCACAATTTTCATCAGAGCTGTTGTCTTTGATAAAAAAACTTCTTGTGACATTACCACTAAATCCACTTTGCTGATTTCTTCTTCCACTAATAATTTTTTGATGTTTTCAATCCTTGTATCTAATATCTCCGTAATCTCATTTTCTGGGGTTCAAGCAAGTTTCTGCTGGCATTGGTCATATCTTCTTCCAACATGTATTTAAAAATGTTTTTTTTTTAGTTCTTTTACCAAATGCAATACGATTTTAATACACTATTTAATCGAAAATGCCTTCCAAGCTTTCATTACACCAACTGATTTTGAATCAATTATGTCTAACTACAAAGAAAGAGCATTCAATGATAAAAACTCTGCTGTGACATTGGGATGGGTTAAATTCATTCAGTAACCAAAGCATTACCCAGAAGTATTAGCACCTTGAGGCTCTTATATTTTTGCTTTAAGTAAGTTTCAACCTCCTGCACAAAACAGTTGAAAAATCAAAATTTCCTGTCACCCAAACTTTTGAGTTTTCTTTTTAGTGGATTGGTAAGGTGTTTCCATTCACCTTACCAATTCTTTCGGGCATTTTTTCCCACTACAGCCCAGTCTCATAGGCATTAAAAACTTGATGTGGTGTAATCCTTGCTCTTCTATTACCTTTGAATTTTGGGGGGATGTACGTTTTGGTTGTTTCATGATCATGAGTTCTTATGTTATGAACTGCAAAACTTTTTTTTAAAAACGTTTGGGTTTACAGAAGATTCTCCGTGTTCTTTCAGATGTTTATGGTGAGTATATTTTCTCGAATGATATTAGCACCAAGTGGAATCCTTTTTATACAAAAATCTTCAATCCTAATGGCTGAGTACCTTTTTCCATTTTCTCAATAACATGTGTTCAGGAAAGAGTTGCATATATCGAAGATCATGTGGTCACTGCACCTCTATTTTCTTTTCCATTTTTTTGTAATGGTTCTCGCTGTTGCCTCATTTAAATTCAGACTTTTTGCAATGTGAAATGATTTTTCTCCTTTTTACAAATGATACAGAATTTGTGATTTCATTTCCACAGAAACAAATTTGCTTTTAAAAATTATTTTCTTAATTTAAGCATAGTTTGGGACTGAAAAATGGTATCAAAATAAATGGTTATTATATAATTTTAATTAAACTGATACATAACAATGCTGAAATCACAGAAAATACATTACAGATGAAAGTACTGTATCTGATACTTACAAATACATTTACTCTGTTAACTTCTCAATTTCATATGTCTTTTGTGATCTTAATATTTGTTATTATTTTGAAATTTTATTTGTATATTTCAAAATCATTGTTTAGAATCCCTTGTATTAGATTTTGCATTAAAAATTAATTTCAGGTTAGTAAAAAAAAAACTTGTTTGTTTTAGAATACAGCAAAGGATTTGATATGAAACTAATTTAAATTGAATTATCAGGGGGAGTAAGTAAATTATGTAATTTTTCTAAATATTAAAATAATAAGTTAAAATGAACTCAACAATTTTATACAATTAAATAACTTTGAAATTTAGAAAATTAATATAGTATCCTAAAAGGATTAATATACATTTTATCAATTATCTTTATCAACAGCAATAAAATAAATTGGATCGTACCTGTACAAGGCCAAGATTTTGGATCTTTTGGTGCTCTGTAGAAATTATTGTCACACTGGCAATCAACAGAACCACTAAATGATGCAGAACTATGTAATGGGCATGGCATACATAGTTCATCTCCAACTTTTTCTTTATACATACCAGGGGAACATACTGGAATATTAAACATTTTCATTACATATTTATAAAAAAGAATAAAAATAAAAACACCAAAAAAACCATATTAAAAAAATAGTGGTTAAGTGAGATGTATAAATAGTGAGATGTATAGATTTAAAATGCTCTAACATACAAATATTTTAACAGAAAGGCCTTTATGAAATTTTTCATTTCTCAAGTAACATCTTGTACACAATAAAACTGTGTTCTAATATTCCAAATAGTTTTGCCATTGTCCATTCATTATACAGGGTTGTAAATTAAATAGTGGCAACTTAACCTTGAAACTCGCAAAAGGGCGGCCACGTGCAAATAGGATATGGGAGCGGTGAGGTGGCGACGTCGATGTGTAGAATGTAAAAAACAGTCGATCTGCTTATAAGGGTAGTTGTTGTGTGGCATTAAAGTGAGGAGTTTCGTTTCCATCACTCTAAAGCATGTTTTCAAAAGGTGATCAGTGGTCGTGGCTTAAAATCGAGGTTGCCCATGGCAAAAATGCAACAGAATGCTATCGAGGATTAGTGGAAGCCTGTGGCACAAATGCTTTACCATATAGGACAGTAGCACGATGGGTTCAAGCATTTCGTTCGGGTCAGAATGAGACTGTGGATTTGCAACGCACAGGTCGGCCCTCCATTCCTCAAGATCAGATCAACATACTGAGCGGTCTCCTTACCATAGACTGGCGATGGACTGTCCGAGAATTATCCTTAGAGGTTGGTTCGAGTCATCAAATGGTGTGGCGCATAATGAAGAAATCTCTCAACATGAGGAAAATTGTTTCCCGCTGGTTCCACATCGACTAACCGAAGTACAGAAATGGCAACGGTATGCACTGGCTGGCACCCACTTGGAGAGATACTGCAATGAAGGAGATGCATTTCTGCAGCATATTGTCGCCATTGATGAGACATGGGCATGAGCCTATGAGCCTGAATTAAAGCATCAATCAAATGAATGGTGTCACCAAGGCTCGCCACGTCCACAGAAATTTCGACAGGAACCCAGTCGGGTGAATGTTATGCTGATTATGGCATACAACTGGGATGGTGTGATTCTTACACATGATGTACCTGAAGGACAAACTGTCAAAGCAGATTACTATTCCCGATTTCTACAGCACCATCTGCGTCCGGCTATGCGGCGCAAAAGTCCACGTTTATTGCACAACAATCTCCTTATCATATTGCATGACAACGCTTGTTGTCATATCGCAAACAATGTCCCTGTCCTTTTGCAACGGTGGCAGTGGGGAATCCGGTCACATATCCGCATTACAGTTGTTTGGTTTCATTCAACACGATTACTGATTTCCCTGAAAGATAATCCACACTCTCGGTAGGCCACTATCCTTCATCTGTCGAACTCGGATCCTTGATCAAACGATGATCGCTGTTTACTACGCGGCATAATTGATCGTTTTTTTGAAAAAAAACCACAAGAAAAACACAATTGCTAAACTTGAAATCGTCGAAGACTGCAAGCCTTAATAAATAGTGCTTTGAAGTGGCGCCACAGGCGCGTGATGTGCGTCTGTGCTGACATTCTAATCATTTGCATATCGCATCTCTGCTAATGCATGTTGTAAATTTCATGTTATTTGCATTCTTCCTTCAGCGTGTTCATTTACGGTGGCCAGCAGTGTATTTATATTAAATCAAAGCTGGTATTAAAATATCGGATTTTCTTTCCATTAGAGGATAGGTACATGCTATATAAGTTTTTAAACAGAGATATATGTGCCAGTATCACTGCTCATTACCCATTAAAAAAAAGGTTTTTCTTAACTCTTTTTTACAGTGTTCTTATTTTCTAAATCTGTAAACAACACAAATATGTGATGGACATCAAGAACAAGGGCCGTGAAAGAATTGTAGCTAAAATAACCAAAATACATCAGTATTAAAAGATATGGTACCAAATTAAAACACATTATTCCACTGGGATGAAAACAACAATATTAATTATTAAGTTATTAAGTTGAATTAATTAAAAAGTTTTATAATATTCTGAAGTCAATTAATTAAAATTTTTTATGTACATTATGTGCATGGAATTCAATACTAATAGAAACAGAATACAACCTTGCAATCAAGTTTTAAATGTTTATAAATCCACACTCTTAATAGAGGATTAAATCTTTCTTTACAAGCAATGAGATGAAATATTCTTGAGAAATAAAAATGTAATCAACAGAAACAAAACAAACAAACAAAAAAAAAGTTAATAAATCAGATTATCAAGAATCAACAGAGAACAAAACAAATTGTTCAGAAAAATTAATTTTTTTTTTCACATAGAAATTAAAGATGAGTTAAATATTTTAAACTTGCTACTAAAACGGAAATACAAAAAATTAAGGAAAATATGTGAAAATTCTTGTTTTCTAATTGGTGAAAAATCCATACCATCATATATAAGTAATTTTAAAATAACAGCTTAGCCCCCAAATATCCAACATGATATAAATGAAGCAGAAATACCTAGTTTTAAAAACTGTGCTATTTCAGTAATTCTGAACACTAAAAGTAGCTACACGTTTAGATCTTTTAAAAATAATTATGAATATAGTTCAGTTCAATCATATCTGAGCATTAAGAAAAACTTTCGAATATTGCCATTCTCTCTACTAAACACAAATTAAGTAATCAAAAGTGTTTGAAAACACAGTGCAATAACTTCTATGTTAGTTACATTACAGTTTATATTATTTCAGTGAAATAATGTTATTAATCAAAAGGGAAATATTTAAACTTCAAAATTGTAATTTACTGTGTGCGTAATTTTCTGAATTATATAAAGCTATGATTAAATTTATTATGATATTATGTTTTGAAAAACACTGATTAAATTTAATTGTATGTGCATTTCCTCTCCAACCCCCTTTTTGTTGTCTTCAAATGGCTGGATACCTTACACTGTATATGGGGGCATGCATTTACCTCTTTGCTTCAGGTGAACACATATGTATGCACGACTATGAAATAATACATTCTTATATAAGCCATTTCTATGTTACCACTTTAACTGTTTCTTGAAATTCCATCAATGTCGCGACACAATTTTAACATCCAATACAGCTGGATACTGAAATTTTAAAATAATAGGTGTGAAATGATAAAAAAATTGAATGAAAAATCACCTTAAAACTGGTATATTATGTTAGAGATTATTAATAAACTACACGTAAAAGATTTTTCCAACTGTGTTTTGTGGTGTGAATTCTGAAATTATTAATTTTTTATTGTGCAAATAATCCACAAAAAAATCTTAATATTGCATAAAAAAAAACTTAATTTAATTTGAAAGAACTAGTTTAAGATGAACTTCTTCACCATTCAAATAATATGTGTGCCAGATTTCAAAGTTCTGAATATATATATATCAGTGTACCACAACAGTAGAAAACATCATAAGAGAAGACTAAGGACAAGTAGATGACAATGAGACAGCTAGACACACATATACACACACACACATGCAAACAAATTAGTTTTTATTACAGATAATCAAATTTTACTTCGGAATTTATTTTTAATTATATGATAATCCTGCTTCCTGAATAATTTTTTGCTAAATGAATATGAACTATTTGACAGAAAAAAAAAGGGAAGACCATAATACCTAATTAATTATGAATAAAAACATACTCATGAATTGAATAAAAAATATGACTTACATTGACATGACTGATCTACTGGTTCATAGCCAGGATTACATTTGCAGCCACCAGAAGGCAAAGTCCAGTTTCCATCACCTTTGCATAGAAGGCGGGGAGTATCCACAACAGCAGTGTTAGCCACACACTGCCCCTCTGCAGATACAATTGCAGGAAGTTCATGTCCTGTAGGAGTTTCAGGGAAGTATGCAAAATTGAGTGTCACTGATGGACAAGTAATGTAAAAGACCTTGATTGCTATAAGAGACAAGCAGGCACCTTGATCTCGAAATGCAAAATAGACACCTTTCTTGGTGATGGGAACACTTCTTACTTCAGTGTTTATAATCACCTCACTGGTTGAAGTGAAACGGCCTTCATCTGCAGCTATTCGATCGATGAGCTTATAAGAGTCAGGCTCCCATGGTGGTGGTTCTTTCGTAGCAGCATCAAACTCATAATATAGAAGAGAGAATGTTTCTTTGCATGATAGTGCCATGCCTGGGAACAGATTGCAGTCCCTCATGCTAAATTTCACTTCAATATACATTCGATTGGCCTCTCTTCGTTCGATGAAAGGTGTCCACAGCCAGTTATTCACACTGTTATAAGCTACATCACAAACTACATATGACCGCCAATTAATTCCTTGTTCAAAGTTTGTAAAGCTTTCTTCAACCCACTAGAAGGAAAAGGAAGGAGATATTAATAAAAAATAACACAGAATATGTTGCATGAGCTTACATTGTTACATTACCAAAAACAAGAAGAAATAACAATAAAAGCAGCCATAGTAAGCCATGCCTAGTGGTTTTAATTTTTTCCTTAGTTTAATATATATAAACTTGCAGGCATGGGCAAATTCAATTATTTCCTTTTTATTTATGATTGACACATATTTTTCATTAAGCCAACATAAATTTAATGGGCATTATAATACCTTGTTCTTAAAAAATATTTTACATCTTCAGCCATAAACTTGTGAAATATATTTTTTGAAGGCAGTGGCAAACTGCAAAGAGAAAAGAGGGAAACAAAAATGATACATTTAAAAGAAAGAGTAGGAGAGAAGAGCCAAAACACGTTCAAAAAAAAAAAAAAAAAAAAAAAAGTTCTTTACGTTCTTAGAGTGATTGGCTGTAACATACCTGCATTGCAGGCATTAAACAGATTAATTTAGAATGAGGCAGTTTAGACTGACACATTACAAACAGTTACTAATTTTAGGACAGAACAGGGAAGTAACTAAATTAAAATGAAGGATAAAAGAGGCTATTGCCAATTAAAAATCAGAAGTTCACATATTTTTATTTTACATACATATATGCATATATAAATGAATAAATACAAATATGGTAGTTATAAAAGTGATAAACTATACAATACGGTAACTTGCTTCAATACTAAATGAGGAAATTTCTAATTAATATCCAGAAGTACAGTCTCTAATTTTTTAATGCAAAGAGTAAAATATACTTGCATAAAATTGTGGCTTGTTATTTATATCTTTTAATAAAAAATATTACTTTAGTCAGTGTCTGTATAAATACTACTAACAATAGTTTGAAAAGTACAAGAGTATTTTATTTTTTCTTGCAGAAATAACTAAGATAAAAGTTTGCAAATTCTTAAATCATTTCTCAGAGATCATAGTTGTTACATCAGTGGATGACAGAGAAGTTCCCTTGTGTTTACTGGATAATACAGACAGGATGATGATTAGTATTACCACTTGTTGCTCTTTCGAGAACTGGAACATGTTTTCAGATATGTGTGCTTTCACACCCATAGTGGTAGAGCACCTTAATATCTCACTGAGGAAACAAATTGTAAATCTTAGTTTATTAGTTTATTTACTGTTGCCACAGATGTATGTAAAGACTTTGAAATTGATTTTTACATCAGTAAATTTTCTCTGGTTTACCAGTGATCCAACTTTAGAAATATTAGAAACAGTACAGACCCTTTTTGGACATTCATTCAAAATCTTCTTTCCATGTAGAAGTAATGACTGGTGAGTTTTCCCTTTCTAACTAGCGATGCTGCTTATTTTGCACTTTTAATGCCATGCTTTTTACAATGTTTTTGAATTATGAAATAGTTATATTTCTCTTTGGAAAGCACAAAAACAGATCCTTCAATCGAAAGCTTGTTTACATGTGACGTTTTGAAAGAAAATAAATTTAAAAGTAGTAGACAATATTTCTCATTTCAAATTATAAGTTGTAACAAATTTTTATTCCAAAATATTTTTTAAAAAAATTCTTTGTGGAGATCATTCTAAAAATGTGTAACTCCCTTGTATAACATATTTTGTTCACTTTAATTGGTCAGAATTATGCACCATAATTACATTACACAACTTGATACAATTTTCTGACTCCCAAGATTACTGCTATAGATGCTTTCTACAGTAACTAAAATAACTACATTTTCTATAGACCTTGTACAGAAATATACATTATACTGCAGTCAGTATTTATTACTACTGATATATTTTAAATATGTAATATTGACTGATCTTTGGAATATGGTAACTGGTAGTTTGGCGACATTTTGGAGGCGATAAAGGTTACTACCTAGGACTTTGGTAATAATGTGAGAAGTACTCAGTTCCGATTATGCATTATTTCGTGTGAGGGAAATGAGAGATCATGAGATATGTCATGTGACATTAATGGACGAATTACAGTTCTTTAATCGGAAAAGGGGGGAAATCTGGAAAAAATCTGGAAATTTTGTATTTAGCATTATTCTGTGTTGTGTGAAACAGTGTTGGTTAATTTTTGGATCCCATGGCCCTATCTAAAGTGAATTCGAAATGGGTATTTAGTGGGATTGAAAGGGGTAGTAATAAGTGTTTTTTTAAAGTTGTGCGAGATAGAAGTAAAGATTGCTTATTAAGTTTTATTAAGTCTGTTTGGAGGATGAAGGTTTTCAACATCTTGCTGTGAACTATAAATATGATTTTAAAGATCCTGAAACAGGCGCACATACGATTGCTTTTTATTTAGCAGAGGAAATAAGAAAAGTATATCCGCCACGTAATCAAGATTCTGAAGAAGATTAGGTAAGTTAGTATTTTTAATTATTTGAGGATATTATTCTTATGCATTGTTCTAAATGTAAGGAGTAAATAAAGTAATATGGTATTATTGGAAAATTGTTATTAGCAATGATTTAGTTTAAAGTAATTAGGATTGTAAGCTAATAAGCTAATTTTTATTAATTTAATGTATGTGCTTATTTGTATTTTAAGTAGTGTTTTTGAATTTAATTATATTTTAATTAAATGATAGTTATTTTGTGAATTATATGTTTGTAAGAATTTGGTATACGTTTGAGTGGAAGTAAACGTGCATGGAAATAATTTAAATATTTGACACTAAGTATTTGTAACCATTTGTAATGTTTGCGGTATGAATTCGTTGGTGACGTTTATAATATAATAGATAATTTAGAGGTAAAAGTTTTTGGATATTTTATTTATTTTATATGTGGAAATGTTCATCTTTGGAAAGGGTATATACTTTTTCGCGATGAGGTAATTTCATATATGTTCTTTTTACCGGATTTAAAGATTCACAAAATTTTCATGCATTTTCGTGATATATTTTTCTAATTTATGAGAAAAAAGCAGTGTACATGGATATAGTCAAGAGTGTGCGCAATGCCATTTTTGTGCAATTCTGGGATGTGTTTTTAAGTAAAAATAAGTCGACGTGTACATGGTTTATGTGTATGTGCTATTCTGAAAAATGCGCAAGGAGTTTGCGATTGTGCACTTTTCCCCATTTTTGCAGTTAATATTTGTCATGATTACGCAGTTTTGTTACATAAAATTTTTAGCATAAGTGTAATTCGGCTAGTAGATTGTTGGAAAAAGTGTTCAGTAAATAAAAATAAAAGAAACATGTCTTTACTTCATGAAGACAAAATGGCGGCGAAAAAAAAATAGAGGGTTGCTGTAGCAGAATTTGTCGCCAAATTTTCGCCAAAAAATCGCCAAGTTACCATAATCCAAAGATCAACCGTAATATTATTAGCAAGTGTCTGAATACAGCATTACATACATACAACATCATAAAGTAAGTACACCAAAATATAATTCTTTATACGAGGGCTATCCAGAAAGTAGATTACGTTTTGGAATAAAAAAATAAACAAAGTATAGGAAACAAATTTTATTATATACAGATGAAAGCCACACTCAAATACTACTTTTCTACATAGTCACCATACAAATTAAGCATTTATCGTAGCGATGTACGAGCTTGGAAATTCCTTCGTCGAAAAATTCGGCCGCCTGTGCCTTCAACCACTTCGTTACCTCTTCTTGCAGCTGTGCGTCGTCATCAAAACGCTGCATAGCCAGCCACTTCTTCATTGCTGGGAATAGGTGGAAGTCGCTCGGTGCCAGGTCGGGACTGTACGGCGGATGAGGAAACAACTCCCACTTAAAAGATTCAAGAACTTTACGAGTGACATTTGCCGTGTGGGGCCGGGCGTTGTCGTGAATCAACAAGATCTTAGAGCTCAACATTCCTCTGCGCTTGTTTTGAATTGCTCTTCTGAGTTTTTTGGAGAGTTTGGCAATACCTTTGAGAGTTTATTGTAGTGCCTCTTTCCAGGAAGTCCACCAAAATTACACCTTTTCTGTCCCAAAAAACAGTCGCCATCATCTTCCTTGCCGACATTGTTTGCATGCATTTCTTGGGTTTTTGGGGAGAACTTGTGTGCCCCCACTGCATTGATTGCAATTTCGTTTCACAACACAGTTCACATGTTTCACCCATGTTTCGTCACCAGTAACGATGCGATCGAGTAAAGAGTCACCATCCTTATGGTAAGCGTCCAAAAAGTTCAACGCCTGCAGCCATTCGCTGATTTTTGTGGTCCTCTGTCAAGATTTTTGGAATCCATCTTGCACAAAACTTGTGGTAACCAAGCTTTTCGCTGATGATTTCGTGCAACAAACTTCGCGAAATTTGTGGAAAACTCAAAGAAAGTTCCGTTATTGTGAAATTTCGATTTTCACGGACTTTAGCATCGACTTTTTCGAGAAGTTCGGCGGTCACTATGCTGGGTCTCCCACTTCGATCTTCGTCGTGAACATTGGTTCGGCCATTTTGAAATCTTATGACCCACTGACGCACTCCACCTTCAGTGATAATGTTGTCCCCATACACTTCACGAAGCTGCCGATAGATTTCTATCGGTTTACAGTTTTTTGCAGTCAGAAACCTTATTACTGAGCGCACCTCGCAGCTCGCGGGATTTTCAATTAACGCAGACATTTCAAACCGTCACAGTATCTGAACAGAGCACAGCACGAACCTCTCACTAGCACGGCTAGATGCAGACTGAGCTGCGCAACGCTCTGACCCCAAGATGGCCGCGCTAGCCCCGCCCCTAGCGGACACAGACGGAAACATAATCTACTTCCTGGATGGCCCTCGTATATCTCTCAAACATATACAGTATTTAGTATGAAATATAGATGATTATTTCACCATGATGCAATCTTAATATCTCCCTCTCTTTCCTGGTTTCAAGCAATACATATGAACTATTATGATTTAAATGTATCATATACACATAAAAACAGAAACTTAAATATTTGTTTCTCTTGTGCTTTGAAACTTATATTTTAATTCTATGTGCATCAAAACATATATTTTGGTTCTCTTATGTATTTTCAAATACATTCACTTTACACCTAAATTAGTTAGTTTTATTTTTTACAATTAGTTTATTCAACAAATTGGTACTTTTGGATTTCGCCAGCGCAAATCTCGCCAAGCAGACTTTTCGTACGAATAGCTTACTGAGAAATTATGTAAAACAGCAGTGCTTTACTTCGCTAGTGCATTCTCATTAAAATTGATGACTAATTGATTTAATTACCGCGTATGGCCTTACGGCATAAATTTGAACTATCTGAAAATTTCTATGTAATTGTGTGCCAATATTGAAAGAAACAATCAATCTGATGAGAAATGGCTGCAACTTGTTTTGAAAATGAGGCATTAAATGTTACCATAGAGGATATTCTGTTTGGCATCAGTTGTACCATTATTGGCGAGATTATCGGCTGCGCCGGCAAAACGGAAAAGTACCAGCAAATTTAAATACTACAATCAGTGAATAGAAATATTCATTCAGATAAAGCTATGTGTAACAGAAAACAGTTAATGATAGTACATGTTTATTCTTGCATGCAAGCAAAAATAATATACGATTAATAAACCCTGCATAAAATTATTCTAAAATTCTACTTACTCCAGGGGTTCTTGACTGGGGGCCATATGGATACCTTGTCCATTCTAAGGAACTTTCAAGTGTTGTGTCGAGAAGAACCACTGAAAGGAAAATTTTATACATTATATTCCACTATAATACTTATTTTTAACAATTAAAAGCGAAATGCATGGTATCACATTTCTTCATTTATTTTAGTATATTCAAAACTAATAACAAAACAATTTAAAAAATTTCAATAACTTGTTTTTAGAAAGCAATTTTAAGTTAGCATACTAACAAATTTTACTCTCCAGTACTTAAAATTAATAATCCATTGTACATTATGAAGAGAACATTAGCTACTCTGCTATTATTGGGACCGGATTCAGAAATGTATGTATGTATGCATATCTGTAGGTGTGTATACATATATACATGCATAAATATGAACACACACATTCATACAATTTTCGAATCCGGTCCCAATAACAGAAAAGTATATATATATATATATTAAAATAATTAAAAAAATGTGCAAACATATAAAAGATTTAATTTTCGAATATACATATATATATAAAGTTACATAAGATGACAAAAGGGTAATTTTTTTCCCTCTGTTCCAATATAGATGGGGGACGTCATGTGAAAGTTGTATTTGCACATAATTTATCAGTTCAAGTAAGGAATATCATCATTCCCCCAGGAATAGAACTTAAAAGACAAAACAAACTGAGAACATGCATCTGATTGTTGCCCCCCCCCAAAAAAAAATTAATGCACAAATCCACATTTCAGTTATTTGCCGATTTTATTAGTACTTAATTAACAGCGCACAGTAAAACATACAAAATAGCAAATCACAAACCAAATCTTTGTCCTAAGCGACTAACTAACGAGCAGCTGGTACGGAAAAAAAAAAAAAAAAAAAAAAAAAAAAAAGGCAACTCTTCAAGAAATTCATTACCGCAAATGAGCAGTCTTTTTCATTGAAATCGTCATGCAGTTAATGAAAGGGCTTTTCGATCTTATTTATTTTGAAGTAGTCGTGGAGTTTTAAGTGGAAATAATTTATCGTTGTTTGACGCCACACGCTTCTTCCCATCTAGACATCAAACAACGATGGCAGGGGGGAAGGGAGATGCAAGGTCTGGTACAGCAAATTCTATCCGCTAATAACCAACCCGTCGCTTCTTAAATGACACGTTTACGTGACATTCATGCGAGAGTTCCAGATGAGTAAAATGTTTAGGTTTTCATTTGGACTTCAAGAAGACATATAAAAGGAGTTGATACATGACATCAACTCCTTAGCTCTTCGAAATCAGTTACTATAGTTAAAAATAAGTCTCAAACAATTAAAAAAAAAAAAAAAAAAGTTTTAAGATTTTAAATTACGTTCAAAGGAAATTTCTTTTTTTCTTTTTAAAGTTTTGTGTGTTACTTTTATTTATTAAATATCATGTTCTTTGCACTTAAACCATAAAGTTCAGCTCAATAGCAATGTCGCAAAATAATTTTAAAATGAGCAATCTTTAGAACTTCTGATACACAGTTCCGCGCGCTAGAGATAAAAATGTCCCCCCCCCCGGGTAGAGTGTTGCCATTTCTCACTTTGAAACCCTTGAGTTTGTTAATCAAAAATTCGTTAAAGTTTTACAAAATATGAAATCGATAACAAAACGAATTCCAAATTTAAAATTTGGTCTTCCACATGCCCATATTCGTAGGAGGATTACGTCATTCAAAATTCGATGGCTCTAGGTACCGTTGTTTTATCACACTGCGAGAAATATACATACATTTATGCAGATTTTTCATTATTCAATTTCTTCAAATATAATGCAGGACTATAACATTTGGTGGCAACAGTTTGAAAAGTGAAACGGACATTTATAGTGATTCAACGCAAAATCACTATAAATAAGATAAACAATTTCACACTAAGAATTCCGAAGTTCGGTCGTTTACTCGCCAATTGCTTTTAACTTACCAAGCCTCACGGACTGGAGGAAACGACGTTCGCCAAAGTCCTCATTTCCTTTTTTCTTGCTCAAAAGCAAGATTGCTTAAAAAAAAAAAAAAAAAAATGCTACAAACGCAAAATCGCGAAACGAAAACAATATTCCTTCAGGGACAAAGCCCCTTTGGACTAAAAAGAATGTTAGCTGCATCACATACTGTGTTCAAAATGGTGGCTATAGATATTGATACCTTAAAATACTGATCCTACGTGTCTCCAATCGTAACATTTCTTGGAATGGCAAATTAATGTAACCTGTTAAGAATCGTTTTATTATTTCAAATTATAATGTTTAACTTTTAGATTTTGGCATCGTCTTCTTAAGTTATGTTTGAACTGGGTTCTAAAGTTTATGAAATATTTAATGTACGTAAGACTAAGCCTGTTTCTTCCTAAACATACATATTGTAATAATTATGTTTTAGTTATCGGATTACGTTTTGTATATTAAATTTGTATTCAAATATAACCATTTTTATAAAGGTACAGAACTTCTTGAAATTGGTTTCTACATGTTGATTTAAATTCAACAAATTTAAACATATTTGAAGGAAAAAATACATTTCACTTTTATACGTGTTTAGTTTTTATGGTTTCAGTTTATTATGTGTTTTGTAAAATATAACTTTATATATTTTAAACCAGGATCTAGTCCCCCCTTCCCCGAAAAAAGATGATGCGATGAACACTATAAACTAAGGAATGTTTTCGAAAGCTGGGATAATAAAATAAACAAAATCTTCAAAAAGTCACCCCAAAATATTTTAATTTATTTTGCGTTTAAAGCAAAACGCAGCATAAATTTTCCCACTCAGAAGAGATTAAAGAAATATTATGCTATAGATAAAAGAATAAAACAGACAGCGCAGGATTTCAGAAACCGAAAAATTTCCATTCCAAAATGTTTAGAATTGTTAAACTGCATAATAAAATTTTAAAAACTGAACAATCAACTTCGATATTAAGCTATGTTAGGAAATTTTAGAAATGAATTTCAGTATAATATATGCTGCGAAAGTATTCCTTAACGTATTAAAATGACAGTGTAGTCAGTATTTTAGCTATTTTTTTTTATTATTTTCCCAAATTCTTTTCTCTAAACACTTAAAAAACAGTTGATACTGAGCAAACTAGAGTTGAATTAAATTTGAAACTGTAGCATAAATATACTGATGTACAGAAATATTGAAATAACGTTTGTTTAATATTACAAGGTATTTCTCCCGCCTTCTTAGCATGCCTTCGTGGTGCAATGGTCAGCATGCTCGGCGCGTATTCGAGAGGTCCGTGGTTCGAGTTCCAGAGAGGGCATTGCTCATTTTTCATCTCTTCTGCTTTCAAAAAATACCTAATGTCTCTACAATGTTGTATGTTAATTTATAAGCATTTCCAAAAGCTAATAAACCTTTTATCGCATTTAATATTAATTATATTATAATATCGCTATTATTCAAAAAAATGTAGACCGATGTTATGCGGGATGAGATGGGAAATCATTAACATTTCGAGAGATTAAACCATTATAATTAAAAAAAAAAAAAAAAAAACTATTTTACATGTATCATCTTCTTTTCATAAAGTATCCAGTTTAATTTTTTAAAAAAGGCTCCTTAAATAGTTTTGTTTTTGAGATAAATAATTATGTTGTGACATGTTCCTAGTTCGTGACATGGCATGACAACCTAATTCATGATATGGCATGATTTATTAATTATAATAATAGCACAACATACCGAAATAACATTTGTTATCTGTAAACGGAATAAACACTATTAAGTACACTATTTTTTAAATTGCTCCATCTGCTAAAAGGGTTGTTCTATCATATATCTTGAAAAATAAATTAAAAATCTTATTTCGCACAGAATGGCAACATCTGAAAAAGTTGGACGGCTTTTTTAAATTAAACCAAAATCTGCTGCACTATAATATGATTCTTTTTCCATTACTTTTATTTTAATTTTAAAATGAGCATTACTTAAAATATCAGAGTTATAGGAAATCCTATATGAATCCCTATTAAATTAAATTATGTATTTGTCGTTCTTAAATGCAATAACATTTCGTTTGAAAGTTTTACATGTTTGTACTCAGTACATAACAGTCAGATGTTTTATTAAATAACGCATATAAGAGATACATCTATTTGAACTTTTTTTTTTTTTAAGCAAACTTTATGTGGACTTGTAATATTGAAATATCCTCCAAACTGGGCATTTTAATTTGGAAAACGATTAAATTATCATAATATTTTATAGCTTAAACAAAAACAAACAAACAAAAAATAACATTTTTAAGAGACAATTAAAAATTGCCTTAATTATTTATGTAGCACTGTTTTTATATATAATCATATAAAGACAAAATTAAAACACACGGTTTAAAAAAAATTATATTATTAAAAAGTATTGAATTTGTTTTATTTATAAAAGGCGAATGTAAAAACACAAACCGTGTTGTAATGAAATCAGAAGATATTTCCCGATTGGGGTGAACTGGGAATAAAATTAATACATTGTCTCTTCTAAGGATCAAATGGGTAACTATGTTAAAGGCTGAACTGGGAACAGGCTCAATCGGCATTAAGCCATTCTAGCAATGAGTTTAGAACTCAGAAAATAAAATACAAAACGACATAACAGGATATGCCTAACTAACAAACAGGAGGATAAACCTATGATTCATTGCTCCTAAGAATATACAGACAAAACAAAGGAAACATTCATCGCTGCCGCGACAATTTCATGTGCTGGAAAATATCTCTCAGAAGATTTCACACGGCCTCGTTCAAACCAAATAGACCGTTCATAACAGTCTTCCATCAACCACAGACATGGGGAAACTCAAATTTCCTTTTACATTCCGCTTCTCGGAATCTTATTCCTTTTAGATTTCGCTTGTAAGAGGTACACGATTAGAACAACCAAAGGTCCGCCATTTATATGCAATATTTCGGATCGTGTAAATAGTGTCAGATTTTGTAAAAAGATTTAATCGATATGAATTTTACCAACTGGAATCAAAACATTATATATATATATATATATATATATATACATGGGTTGGACAAAAATAAGGAAACACCTTTAAAAAAAC